ACTATGTGTTCCCAAGACATATTTTTTTCTACTTAGCTATAAACTAGTGAAGGCATATGATGCTCTGGCCAAGTTTCTGGAATTAAACTGTATTACACCTTCTATTCATTTCACATCCTCTCCTTTTCTTTCTGCTAGTACCAGAGCCTGAACCCAGGGCCTCACACTGTTGATTGGCTTTCTTGTTCATTGTTAGCAAGGGTCTACCACTTGAGCCACAATTCCAGCCTGGGATTGTGCTGGTTAGTTGGAGATGGTATCTTGCAGACTTTTTAAATTAATTTAATTTAATTTGCAAAGGCTGCCTTCAAACTGTGGTCCTCCAGGTCTGTCTCCTAAATAGCTAGGTTTGTACCAATCTCTCTCTCTCTCTCTCTCTCTCTCTCTGTGTGTGTGTGTGTGTGTGTCTCCCCCTCTCTTATCAATATATCCCACTTCTCAGACCTGGACTAAGTAATCATTTTCATTACATTGAGATCCTGGGAAAGTAAGATATTTTCCTTTTGGTTTTAGTTATAAAGATATTTGCCTAACCATCGCTACCTGACAATTCTCAAATGTATTTCTCCATCCCTGACTTCTCTGTTGAGCTCCAGACTTGTTCGTCAAATAATATCTCAACATCATTACTTGAGTTTCTAACAGATATCACAAACTACTGAATGTGTAGACTTCCACCAAATCTATTTTATCAGCATTTATCCTCATATAAATTGATATGAAGCTCATCTTTCTATTTGTTTAATCCATAAACACTTGCATGACTCTTCCAATTCATCAGCAAATCTTGTTAGTTTTAAATGTATTCAAAACCATTCAGGTCTTACCTCCACTGCTACCACCAAGCCACTACCATATCTCCAGTGGGTTCTTGCACTAGTCTCCTCATATTTAGTCTCATTGTCTATAGTCTCACCCCATTTGTAGTTTGTTTTCCATACAGAAGTCGGAGTAATTCTTAAATGTGAGATCATAGCTTTCTTCTATTCAAATTATATCATGGATTCTATCACTTATGTAAAAAACATCTCAAATTTTCAGAAGCTGAGTGGTTTTAAACTTAAGACTTTAGAAGCTTACAGCTTCTAGGTAAGAGAATAAATTAGGTTTACTGTGGCAAAAGAGGAACCATCATAAATTCCGGCCAGTCATAATCAGTACAGCCTCCCTGAAATGGACAATTTATCCTCACAAATTTGGAAATCTGTTGAAAATATTTGTCAAGTTGGTTAATGAAGATACCCTTTTGTTCTATCTGTAGGAAAAAGAGATTGCTTTGTGATTCAACATGTAAATAGGAATGAGCTCCCTTTTGCACAGAAAAGCCAACTTGTTTATTTATTTTTTGGAAAACACTTATACATTCACTATAATGTGATAAACATATAGTGAAAATCAATCGTACTAAATGTAAATAATTCTTAGCCACATAAACTTTAAAAATTCTCTATGTTGTGTTCTTGATATCTAGAAGTATTACTCAATCAATTTTAAGATAAGAAATTGCACAGAACATCCTTTCTTCTTCAATATTTGCAACTTGGGGAACTGGAAGAGGTGTTTGCTATAGCTCTTTGCAACCTTGCCACTTGTGACTCAGATGGAAGTACATAAAAAGTTGAGCAGTAAGGGAAACACGGATCTCAAAGTCTATGCACTTTGCTCAGAGGGAAAAAAGCCCCACGTAGGCTTGAGCCTATGAAAATGGAGCTTCCTGATGGAATTCCATGGTTATCTAGTTTATATTTATGTCTTAGCAGATAGCAGATCAAAAACTAGGAAAGGATTTGTGATGGGAAGGGCTACTGGAAGCTGATACTCTTAAGAAGTCATAGTAATAGTGAACTAAAAATGTACCTAGGCAGCAGAACTAGTAGCAATAAGACTATGTGGAACAATTTAATAAAGCTTTATAGTCATTATCATGCTATGTAGCCTAGCCAGTAAATAATGTTCAAGGTGGATACTGAATCATCTAAAAAAGTGAAAACAAAAGCAAAAATAACATCCAAGCAATATTCCATTCTCATTAGAATGGACTCTATTTTAGAAAAAAAATTGACTCAAAATGGGTTACAATGTCAAACTGGTATAATCAAGGCAATGAATTTTAGTTTTGCTTGTTTAGGTCTGCTTATTTTCAGAACATTCCATGTTGATGAGGACTTACTAGCCCTACATGAGACTAGCAGACAACTGCACCTGTAATTTCACAGACAGAATATATGAATCTCTTTATAGCCTGCAATCCAAGTGTAGTCACATGACTTATTAGTTATAGGAATTTAGGCTAGTCATGGGAAAACTAGAAGCTCAGTTTCCTTAGTTATAAAATGGATCAAACAAGTTCTATCTATGCATGTTTTTTTGTGAAGGGTCCATATACAGAGCCTGGTACAGTGTATATGCAGTCAGATACAGTATTTTTAAGAATTGGGAGGGAGTGATTTATATTTCCTTCTCCTTCAAGATAGCAGTGATAGATTAGATTTTCTTCATTCTGTATATAGGAGATTTGATAACAAGACCTGTCCACAATTAGGTAATCAGTGCAACTGACATTTTCCCCAGGGCTGGGCTCAAGCAGACTCTCTGGCTGACTCCCTTTTCTTTAATAAATGACTCTGCTCATTCTATGAGCCAACTCCTCCATCCTATGATTTCATCCCAGGCTAGCAAAGGCAGAATATTGCAGTCCAAATGAACGTGTGTGCGTGTGTGTGTGTGTGTGTGTGTGTGTGTGTGTGTGTGTGTGTGTGTACCAGTACCAGGTCTTCAAGTCAGGGCCTCATGCTCCTTGCTTGTTCATGGCCACTTGCCACATGTGATTTATTTCTAGTTTATCTCTAATAGGGCAGACATACATTTTCCCAAGTATGTGGTACTGAGCTTTGAACTCAGGACCTCATGCTTGCTAGGCAGATACTCTACTACTTGATGTATGTCCCTAGTACTTTCTGCTCTTAGTTTTTTTCCCCCTGATTGCCTGGAGCTGACCTTGGATAGAATCCTCCTATTGATACCTCTGTCATAGCTGGGAATACAGGCATGTATTATCATGCCCATCCCTAAAAAATATATTTTATAATTTTGTCAAATGTCTCAAAGATGAACTCTTCCCTGTATGAAACCCACCCTCATCTCCAAATTTTTTGAAAATTCAACTTTCTTGCATGTCCAATCTTCTAATTTTTCTGGTCCTCAGTTATTTCCCAAAGATAGCATGCTCTTTCAGGGCAGTTATTTTTCTGGGTCCCATCCTGTAGGTCTTTTTTTGTCATTTATAGGGCTTGAACTTGGGGCCTGGGTGCTATCCTTGAGTTCTTTACCTCAAGGCTAGCTCTCTACCATTTTGGGCCACCACAACACCACTTTTGGTTGTTCTGGTGATTAATTGGCGATAATTGTTTCACAGACTTTCCTGCCACAGCTGGCTTTGAATCATGATCCTCAGATCTCAGCCTCCTGAATAGCTAGGATTATAAGCATGATCCACCAGCATCCAGCCCTTAGGTCTTCAGTGGATTTTTTCCATTCTCATAATGAGTTTAAAGAGATCATTTCCAAGTTATTGTCAGTACACTGGCAGGTTCTCAATGGAGAGTGTAGAGAAATTCTAGCAAGTCAGTTCTTGCAGTTGGTAATCATGAGCTGGTTTTCCTGCAGAATCACTATAAGAAAATTTCTCACTTCCTTGCTTCTCAGTTTCTTTGCTTCCGATATTTTCTTGCCTTACCTCTATCACAGGCTTTGTGTCCATCTATTTTTAGCATGGATTATACTTTCTACATTTCAATTTGATCATGTCCATCTTATTTTGTGGTTCAATGAATTAAATTTGGAGGATTATATCCCCTTACCCCTTAAATTTGGAGGGTTGTATTCCCCTTTTCCCTTTATCCTCATATTTTATTCAGGAAGTTATCTGAGTAAAGGTGTGTTTCATTTTTTTGGGGGGGGTCTGGTCATGGGGCCTGAACTCTGGGCCTGGGCCCTGTCCCTCAGCTCTTCAGCTCAAGGCTAGCACTCTACCACTTGAACCACAGCAAGAATTCTGGCTTTTTCTGCTTATATGGTGCTGAGGAATTGCACCCAGGGCCTCATGCATGCAAGGCAAGTGCTCTACCACTGAGCCACCTTCCCAGCCCCTCAGTTTTTATTTATGTAACATCTTTCTTCTAATATTCAGGTACAATTCCCCTTTTCGTCGCCTGTTTTTCTCCTAATGTGTCTGAGCAGTGAGGAGATTTCACCTCCCTTGAATGTGTAAGGAAATTTATTGTAATTTCTGGACAGATTTCTCCCATGTTATTTTCTTTAAAGTCTTTATTATTATTAAAATTTGGTAACTTTTATTTCTCCAAAGGTATTGAATTAAAATCATATTTGGTGCAATGAAGCCACACCCATCATTTTTATTACAGGATCAGTACCTCTACTGTTCTTTACCTATGGTTCTAGTATTGCTCTTAGACTACTATACTACTACTTAGCCAAGGGCTAATCAGTCTGTATGGATCCATGTCCTGGCTCAACCACTTAATTACTGAGTGAGATCTGGCAATTTATATAAGCTCAGTTTCATAATCCATAAAATGACAATGAAACATTTGCCTATAGATTTGTTGTGATACTTAAATACAATATTATAACACAAAACATTTTGAACAGTTGTTATTTTTTCCTATTCTATAATATATACAACTTTTCAATAAAATTTAGTGCAGTAGTAGAATTTTTAAGGCTAGGTTATTACCATTTCATCTGAACCTGGAAGACTTGTTTTTCTAGGTGAAGAAATGTTTTCTCTGTGTGAAGGTTTCATAATCACAATGAAGCAGGCCTATGTACCTTGCCATTTAAAGGGACTCCTTTCTTTTCTCTAAGACATACTTGCACTTCGGGATTGAGAACACTGAGCCAGCACTTGAACTTCATCTGGATAACCACTAAACTCTCTTTGCATTCTATGTTGCTCTGATCCCATGAGTGTGGATGACCAGAATTACACATGGATACTCTTCAGATTTCTTACCATGTGGGGGAACTATTATTTTCTTATGATCTTGACTGAGTTTTAAACAGGTAAGTGAAGGGGAAGGAGGTATTTTTCATGAAGTAAATCATGGAACTAATGTTTAACATGGTCATCTCAGAAATAGCAAATGAGCCTTTTTTAAGTTTTCCAAAGCCAGATCAAGAGAGTTAACCTATATAATGGATAGAGTCTTATACTTAAAAAATGGCTGCAGAAATTAAAATTGATCAGGGAAAAAAGAGAAATTCCATAAAGACAAAGGAAAAGGTCATTTATTTGGCAGAGAATTTCTTTCCAGAGTAATAAGTTTCTTTAAAAATATGCATGAATATAAAAATAGGGGAAGGAGAACTGATTATTAATGGAATTGTCAGAAAAACGTATAAATGCCAACAATACCCTATAATCCTTATTTCTAGCTTTATTTCATTACTGTAAAATCATAAAACCCTCAGTGTATCTTTAACAGCTTTTTAGGAACATATTAACCAAATGTCCAAGTTTTGATTTGGCCATATAGTGCTGGGAGAGCTAAGATTTTCTAGGATTAATGAATAACATGTCTTTATTTGGTTTACTTAAAAAATCTTTCTAAAATCTGTTTACATATCTGTCATTTCCAGGATTAATTTTTTTTATTAGTTCAGCAGATTATTTACTGCTTTGTTCTTCTTTTCCTTTTTTTTTGGTCTTTCCTTCTCAGTCAGTGCCCAACCCAAGTTCAAAGGCTGATGAGATAGCAAAACTCACGAGATTTTACTCTAGGGAAAGTTGTTCAGTGGATGGGATCTTGGCGCACGGAGAAAGATGTCACGCTCCTCCTGGCTCCTTCTCAGCCTTATTGCTGTAACTGCTTCTCAGTCTTCCATCGAGGAACTGGCCAAGACATTTTTGGACAATTTTAACCAGGAAGCTGAAGACCTGTCTTATCAAAGTTCACTTGCTTCTTGGAATTATAATACTAATATTACTGAGGAGAATGCCCAAAGAATGGTGAGTTCTCACGGCTTCATAGGGGATATTTGTTGCTTGTAAGTGATTACTGCCTATAAAATTAAATAGGGAAATAAAAGAAATCTTTTAGCATTAAGGTTGTATATTTACCTCTGAATTTTTGGTTTTTAGAATCCCAAATGACTAAACTTAATTGACCTTGGAGTTCATTTGAAAAGTTGTTACAGGATAACATACTGGTCTCAGTCCAGATTCCAGAAATAAGTGAATAGCTTTTATAAAGTTAACAGATTCATAATCAGTGTTTTAAAGCATTTTAGGGAAATGTCATAGTTATTGAGTTAACAATTTTCACTAGCCAGTAATGTCAACAGAAATATATAAAGACTCCTAATAACATATTACGTGAAAAATACAACTGGAGGTTTATTGAAGCACTAGTAGACAGTTAAACTAACTGTGGATTAGGTGAAACTGGATTTGGGAATTATTGCATTGTCACAGATCTCAGAGGGATTTCAAAAGGTCATAAAAGGGCCCTCCAAGAAAAACGATAACTAAACCTGTTCTGAAAAAATCTCAGAATGCTCTGGGAAAGCAAGATATTTTGCTGGAAAAGTACAAAGGTTTATTAACCTTCTTCTCTCACATATCTCAAAGCAATAATTTTTATACATTTAAATAGTAGAAAATTGAATGATCAGTTAAGGCTTTTGTGTCGGCCATTCAGCAACTTTTTGCTTCAAAAATCTAGCTTGAAAGCTTATGTGTTGTGTGTTTAAATCAAATCACCGACATTCACTGAACAGAGCAATTCAGAACTGTTGTGTCATTTTCTGGTTTTATTTTTAAGCTCAAGAAAACAGGAGATTTTGACAGCCCAAGATATTTTGTCTTGTCTCACATTTTGATATTACCTCTCTTTTCTTCATTATATCTTTTTGTCTCAATTTTTCTTTGATTTTTGTTGGAGGTAACTGCAGGGTATTGTGTGTTTCTCTTTATTCCCAGCTGAATGTTCATTGTGATAGTAAAAGTGATAATACCACAACTAAGCACTCTAAAACCAGACCACATATATACACATCCTGGGTGAACTTGAGCTAGTTCATTAGATTCTCTGGGTCTTAGTTTCTTCATTTTTGAAAAGTAAAAAACACTTATATGTGCTTTATTGGGTTTCTTTTCCTTCCTTCCTTTTTTTTTTTTGTTTTTCGGTCACTCATGGGGCTTGAACTCAGGACCTGGTGCTGTCCCTGAGCTTTATTGCTACTCTGCCACTTGAGCCACAACATCACTCTTGTTTTTTTTTCCTGGTTAATTGGAGATAAGAGTTTCATGGACTTTCCTGCCCAGGCTAGCTTTGAACTGCAGTCCTCAGATCTCAGCTTCCTGAAGAGCTAGGGTTACAGGCATGAGCCACCAGCACCCAGCTTCTTATTGGGTTTCTGTGAAAAGTAAATATACAAAACTACCTAAATAGTGCTTCTTGCTTGTTGGACATCAAAGAATAGTAAGACATCATTGTTATCAGTGATGGGGAGTCCGTTTTTTTTTTTTTTGGTGATACTTGTTTGCTAGGCAAGTACTCCATCACTTGAGCCACACACTCAATATGAGGATAATCATATACATGACATGAACCTTGGAATTTTGGATAAACATATCATATTACTGTTGGGAGCCCACATGCGGATGAGTCATGTTATGAGATGAATTGTAGTGAAGTTTGTTGAAATAATTTTTGGTTCAATAAAATATTATTATTTTTGAATGGGGTTGTAGTGCAGTGGTAGTGTTCTACTTTTTTAAAAAAATGTTATCAGGCCAGTGTTAGTGGCTCATGCCTGTAATCTTAGGTACTTAGGAAGCTAAGATCTGAGGATCAAAGTTTGAAGCCAGACTAGGCAAAACATCCCCAACACTCTCAGGTCTAATTAGCCACCAAAAACCCAGGGGTGGAGTTGTGGCTCAAATGGTAGAGTGCTAGCAGTGAGCAAGAATGCTCAGGGGAAAAGTCTGGAAATGCCTGGGAATACTCTGGGAAAGCAAGATGCTTTATTGGATAAGTATGAAGGTTTAATCATTTTTATCTCACAGATCTCAAACCAATATTCTTATAAATTTAAGTGGTGGACAACTGAATGATCACTTAAGAAAAGATTTTTATGTCCTTTATTCAGCAATAGCTTGGTTCAAGTTCAATTCTCAGGACTGGCACAAATTTTTTTAAAATGATCTAAGTTGATTAAAGACTAGGAAATCAGAGCAGAAACCACTATAAATAAATCAATTTGAGACAAATGTGAATCTTTTTAAGGAAGAGTGAGTATATTTAAATTGAATAAGCAGTAAGGGACTGGACATCTTCATCGAGCAGTGGTGGAGGGTTTATTACTTATTCAGGTGAACTTGCATGGGAAAAGAGAAAAGGTGAGAGAGAGATGGCTTCTTCTTCTATCTCTGATTACAGGTATTGAGATTCTTTAAGGCACTAGGCTGTATAGACGTTACAAGAGATACCAAAATGAGAAGGTTTCTGAGATAGGGTCTTCTATATGGGTAGCTAGTGCATGTACACTGTGATTGTGTTTGGTATAGTAAGTAGACTTTAGGGGCAGCTGGGGTTCAAATTCTAGCTCTGAAGGTTCATTTGCCTCATCTGTAAACCAGAGAAGTTTATTATCATAATATTAGTAATATAGCCTATACTAGATAGGAATACTGATGTTAGTGAATATGTGATATGTGTACGTGTACACGTGACACTTGCTATCATGTCACTTGATACTGTCTGGCATTTAACCTTCTCTACATTGCTATTGACAATAACAATATTATTGTTCAAGGGTTTTGCATTCTGGAAAGTCCACAGTCTCTCTGCTATTTCAAATGAGTGCCTTTTTTGTTGTTGTTTTCAGTGCTGAGGATGGAACCCAGGGCATTGGACATGCTAGGCAAGCACTCTCAATTCTCAGCCCAGGTGTAGTTTTTAATAAATATTTCCCTGAAAAAAGTCAAATATAGGAGGATCCAGAACCCCCTACCTCTGATACATTTCTGAAATTCACAGAAGAGCTGCTGGGAGAATATGAACTTGGAGGCCATGCAGTTCCCAGAAACAGCCATAATGTTCCTTCCTTTGCCTGCTTGTTGGCCTATAACCAGCAGAGAATTCAGGGTCAAGAATTAAGAAATATCAACCTTTTTGTGTATTTTGACAGTAAGCCTTTCCTGCACAAAGGGGAGAACTTGTTCCCATAAATTTACATACTGCTGACTTTATCCTACGCTTTATTTACAGAATAGCATCTGTTGTTATAAGACATGTACTGACTCACTAAATTAAAAAAAACAATGTGGATTTATTTTAATAAGACTATCTGTTGCACTGGCTTATCTTCTTTGGAGTTAACTATAAATGAACTTATTGGGCAGAGAAAATAACTGAAACTCTGATTCCTTGTGCTTCATATCTTTTAAGCAATAACTGACTGAACTGAAAATCAATAAGATATTCGAAATTACCATTAATATTTAAATGCCATCTAGTATCTATAATCACGGATTTGTTGTAGGTTTATTGCCTCAAAGAAGTTTTATAAATCCTGAAAAAGTTCTCCAATAAAATGAATATTTGTAGTATGTCCACAAAAGACTTTCCCATATCACTAACACATAGAAAAGTATCAAAAAAGAAAACAATCCAAAATAAAAAGAATAATCATACCATAAAAATTGTGAAAAAAGAAAAAATGGTATATAGTAAAATTATATAAATGAGAACTAGTCTAGAAAATCCAAGTTTGTGTTTGTGTTGGTTGTGTCTCTTTGTGCAAAAGACTTAGAAGTCACTCAGGATTGTCTCTTAAATTTTTAGTTGGATAATGACAACAGCAGTTAACATTGTTTAAAGGTTGCGGAAATAAAAGAATGCTATTCCATGCCTTTGGAAACACGATCCTGGTGGTCATATTTATATCAAGAGATAATTTTGAATTATGTACACTGTCTCACCAAAAACATCAGTCAGAATAATTTCAAGGGTTCTGAGAGATAGGGAGCTACACAAAGCTTCACTCAAAACGAACAAGAAAAAGAAGAAAGAAATAAGTGTTTGACTTGGAACAAGAAAAGAGACTGTGTTCACAGTTATATTGATCCAATCTTTCTTCTAGAGAGAAAAATACAGCTGCAAGCTCTACAGAGACCAAGTTAGTAAATAGAAGGAAGTGATGTTTACACCACAGGTGGTAAAACTGATAAGACTCATAAAATTGGCCCATTCTTTAATAAAATGTGAGACATTTAAAAACTATAAATATGGTTTTGAAATATTTAAGCAAGTGTGTGCTTTGTAGATTCACTGTGAGTTAAGGAAGTATGGCCAATTTCACCGATGGACTCAGTTCTTCATCCTTTCCCATAATAACGTGTAAGGTCATGTCACTCTGCAGTGCCATCCCATTGCAGGCCATGTGACGGTGTCCATCATTTATCTTGCTTTGTGTTAGAGGAGATGATGAAAGCAGAGGCTTAATGGACTTGAATAATAGGGCTTGTCCTATGAACCTTTGCCTCTGCCAAGAGAACTTGCCTGGGCTCTCCAACTAAAAAGGAGAGACACGTGGAGCAATTGCCCAAGCAGAAGCCAACATCCAGAGTTGTAAGCAAATTCAGCCAAGATAAGCAAAGTTACCTGCCAACCTCCAGTGATTCTAGGCAAATAAACAATAAACACTTATGCCATTAAGAGATTTGGTTACTTATTATACAATATTGTAACAATAGATAACAGACACAGAAGGGGAAAGTGGATCTATATGACCTGTATAAGTTCATATGATATCAGGGTGACATTATTGAGGACAATCTGCTATTTTCATATTCTCTTGGTGTAACTTTCAGGAATCAGGATATTGGGCTAGACAGCCAACAGTCTGCCTCAATATGGTAATCCTTAGATTAAGTTGTTCAAATATACCTTAAAATAATAAAGGACATCAAACTTGGTTAACATAATGCTCTAAAAGCAGCTTCCCTAGGGTGTACCAGGAACCATTACATAGGAGTCGGGGAAAAAAAGCTTGGTTTGAAAACAGGTTTACAATGTTCTTTGCTTTTCTCTGCTATTGTGGAGTGTGTGGTTGACTCAATGCTTTGTTTTATCTTCTCATGAGATTTTGAAAATTAAGTGATTTCTGGCCAAGGAACAAAACCAAGATCATCCCTTTCTTTAATAGATTTGGATGAAAATGGGTAATAAAAATAAAAATAATATGCTTAATAATATAATATGTTTAATATAATATAATAATATAATATGTTTAAAAACAGATATCAAAGAATTCAGAAGTGCAGTGAAAAATTAATTACAAATCTTATCATATGCTACATAATAAATTGTTCTCTTGCTTTATAGCACATGCATATAGAATATTCACCAGTTAAACTGTAACTAACTTCTCAGTTAAATAATACTGCTTTAGCTGGACTATCCCTTCTTTGTGGGTTTATTGTTTGTTGGTGTTTTAAAAATAAGATCCTTTAACAGTCTTACCAAAGGGTATATTAGAAATTAGAAATTTTACTTTTATTAAGCAAGCCGAAAGATAATAAAGCATTTCTTACTTGTTAATCCAACTCAAGTCTGCCCTTAATTTGCACAAAGATAAACCCAATGTTCTCATGAGAAATTGGAGCCTCCTACAAGCAGCCTCACATACTCTTGAAATACAGTATTTGCAACTATGAAAATGAAACAAAGAAGCCTGTTGGGAATGCTACTGGGATAGGGAGGGAGGCAGGGAGTATAATAGATAAAGTAAGATTGATTGAAATACAGCGTAAACATGTATCCCAAAGCTGTAACAGTGAACCTCCTTCATATCACTAATACAAGCTCTTTTTAAAAAAAAAGCAGTTTCAGAAAGACGATGACTAACTTTTTAGTCACAAGGCCACAATTTCTCCAGCAACATAGGAAGTCTCTGGATCGTTTTTATCCCTGGAGAAAGTAAGAAGATCCCATTGCTAACACAGGCATCCTGGTTCAATGTTCTAGTATTTGGCAGTAACAACTATAACTACCCGAAACTATTGAAGTGAGTGGTGCAGACAATCCTATAAATATTTCTTGGTGAGTTATCAGAAGCTATAAAGAGAGACCAAGAGGCCCACGTTTATTATTTAGATGGTCTCTAGGGCTTCTTCAGTTCCTTTGTGCTAAGGCCAATAAGGTCTTTGGGCATGGCTGGTTCCTGAACCTACAGGGCCGGAGTCACAGTGAAGTCAGAACTAAACTGCTATTATATACCTAAGAAAAGAATGTTGACTTACTCTCTATCTCTAATGATCCTGTCCCACGCTTCATTACACATATAACACCTACATACAAAAACAGGAGTGGAGAAAGATTATTGTGATGTAAGTAAAATGGAATTCAGAGGAAAGTACTTTTTCCTCACGGTGTAAAGTTCAGGAAAAAATTAAAATGTTAGTAAATGTTTTAAATTTTATAATCTTAAGCCATCTATCTAAAATACAAAAAAAATGAATTCTAAAGTGGAGTGATAAAATTCATAGTTATATGACTTATATTGCCTACTCTATTGAACAGAGTATTTTTTTAAAATGTGCAAGTCTCTGGGACTATTTAAAAAGAAACCAAGGTGGCTTTCATCCATAAGACTCAGATGGTTTTGAAGGCCATACCTGGAAACTGGACCAGCATAAGGAACTCAAAGGTATAAGTTTTCCTAGGAGCTGGTTGGGCTCCAAGGACTGAACAGCTACTAGGATTCTATCCAGCCTTTCATCTTCTGTCTTCAGGAAACTGCCACATGTCCAAAGGAAGAAGTAGTTTAGTGGTTGCTGAAAGTAAAGCCTGGTTCAGAGGGTAAAGAAATGTAGAAAAAGAAAATAAAATGCCAATTCTGTAAATCTCCAAACAACTTACCACAAGATGGATAATACAAAGCTCATGTGAAAGCATTTAAAAGCATCACAAATCCTTGTATTTAATTTTCTAAATATAGTTAGGGCTAAGATGAGCAGAATGCATTTTTAATATGGAAACAATACAGGTTAGAACTTTTATACTTCCAATCCTTGAAAATGCAAAGATCTTCCACAGGATAGGAATATGGTATTCACTACAGGAATAGAGGGAGTCAGAGAGTGTTTTCATTTCTTGTGGTGGTGCTGAAAAATGTGTTTTGTCCCCAAGTCCCCCAAACTAGCTGTGGACAATTTTGCTGTTGCAGTTGCTTCTTTCTTGCCTTTGCACAGAGGGAATGTTCAATGCTATCTCTTTTGTCTACTAGCTCCCATCAATCCCTGGAGCTATGTGAACTGTGGTATATGTTTCATTTCACCTATTGTTCAGGCCCAAAAACTACTACTCATAATTATTAGCCACAGTTTAATCTAATTGGTATGTTTGGACTGACTTTGATTTTCCATATAAGAGCTAAGCTATCTGTTTTATTTAGGCTCAAGAGAGTTAGGGTGATGATATGGAATACCCTGTCAATAATATTCAAAGAACTTGGGAAGGAATATTATGTTCTATGGGGCCCAAATGCAAGGCAACGTAAAATAACTTTTTGATGGTATTAAGTACAACATTTGTAGAGTGCTAGTAACAAAACTCAAATCAGATGGCCTCAGAGTTCACATGTATAGCATAATAAAAATGTTCTAAGACCGAAGCATTTGGGAAAATATGGATTTTCCAAAATGGGTCAAGAATAAAATTATTACCATAACTTGATACCAACATTTTATCAGAAATTTTTCTTGACAGTAAATTACCCTGGACTGGAGTAAGAAAAGTAGGGATTGATTGGTGAATGATGGGAAGGATATAGTATGTTCTGTAGATCAAATTGTTCTTCCCATATAGCTCACTCCTCATTCATGCAAACTAGAGGGAAGAAGAGGATGTGTCAAACACATTCTATAGAACAATGGTCCATAGTATTTGCTCTAGATGTAACCACACCTAGTTTGATTCCCTAATTCTTTTTTTTTTTGTCGGTCATGGGGCTTGAACTCTGGGCTTGGGCGCTGTCCCTCAGCTCTTCAGCTCAAGGCGAGCGCTCTACCACTTGAGCTACAGCGCCACTTCTCCCTAATTCTTTCAATTGCTAGCTATGTGACCTAGAAAAAGCTACCTGCCCTGTCCCTCATTCCCCTAATTTTTGAGGTAGAGATGATGATAGTTTCTACACATGCTACCTCTTCTTTATGGTCCAATGAAGTATGATGTACAACGCAGTTGTTCATTTGAGCCTTTGATAAATGGAAATGAATGTTTGCATCGAGAGAAGACTGCACAAGGAGGCCAAGACATATATAGTAAAATCCTGCCACAAACAAAGAAAGGGGAAAAACAGGGGAGCAGGTATATCCTGGAATCCTCATTTGCTTATTAGTTTCCTTTGCTTGTAGAAAAATCAACAGGGTTACTTAATTACCATTTTCTGAGAAACTTTCTTTAAAGATCAAAAATTAAGATCAGAATCCCTGTGCTGTCTTGATACCTAGGAGTGTACTATGACCTGTTTTTCATTTCCCATGGCTCCAGTGGTCAGGAGGGACAAGATTCCCATTATGTCCAATCTGAGATCTACTGGGTTCTCCTTTTAGAGCACTCATCCTTGAATTCTTAGCCAATTCACCCACATCATAACACTAAGGCCATAAGTTGCAGGGCCTCACAGTGTGAGTTATCTGTGAGAATTCACTTCCAGTTCTGGGGACAGGACCCTTGGGAAAAACTAGGCACTTGGCCAGAAAGAAAGTGGCCTAAGAGTGGCCTGGTCACTCTTAACCTAAACCTTGACCTTCAGCAAAGCAGAGGAACAAGCCACTCAGGAAATGGTAGATGTTTCACCAGATGTTCTTTAGGCTAGATCTTCTGTCCAACTTCAACTTTTTTTTGTCCTTTCAGAATGAAGCTGGGGCCATATGGTCTGCTTTTTATGAAGAACAGGCAAAGCTTGCCAAAATATATTCCCTACAAGAAATTCAGAACCCCATTCTCAAACGCCAATTGCAGTTCCTTCAGCAGAGTGGGTCTTCAGCACTCTCAGAAGACAAGAGCAAACGGGTATGTTTGTGAACATTTTAGCACTGACTCCAAGAGTTAAAATGTTTGGGAAATATTGAACAGGAGTATCACTCATGGCTTCTTCCTTAATCTACAACGATAGTGACTCAGACATTAAAAAGAACTCTGTGCCTATATAAGGTGTTCGTAGAATTTATCATCCAAGCCAAAATTTTGTTTTAATTTTCAGAGCGAAAGAAGACTCAGTTCTGATTTGGACTGACATGAGCAGGAACGTGACATTCTTCACTCCATGGGCTATGCCTACTAAGGCAGTCTAGGACTATAGATTTTAATTTTGGATAGACAGATATCAATGAAGTCTCCAAACTTCTTGCACTAATAATTCCGTATTATGGCACATTAAAATTTCTATTCTCAGTCTGATGAAACTCAATAAGGTCTCTATTCACCCCTGTTTAATCTCTAGCATCCCATTCCTTTGGCCCAGGAGTTATCTAGCTGTTTTATTTCTATAAAGGGATAGATAGAAAAAAGTTTAGGGTTTTCAGGACATGTTGTCTGTGTCACAACTAGTCAACTTTGCCATTGAAGCAGGAAATCAGTCATAGATAATACATAAGTGAATAGATGTGGCTGTCTTCCAACAAAAGTTTATAAAAACAGGCAGGAGACCACAGTTTGCAGATCCCTGATATAGACTATTGAAATATTTTTATCTAAAATATTCAACTATGTTACATCAAAGTCTTCTTTCTCAGTTACTTGTCTTCTGGAACTCTGTATGTCCTAATCTGCATTTATAAAAATAAAAAGACATGATAAGGACAGAGATAAAACCATATGGTATTTGTTTCTACAAGTTGATATTTATTATTCTGCATTCTTTGGGGCAAGTCATTCCAGTAGTTATTAATCCACTTTATCTTACCCATTGTATATTTCTTCATCTTTTCCACAAAGGAAACCATGAGAAACCTTGTCCATTTGACTCTAGACAGTCTAACCCAGCCTAGCATGGAACTTGGACATTCTATTTTTAAAAGAATAATTCTGATGTGTAGCCAAGATTGAAAACCACTTAACTGCGAGCAAGAGCTTAAGTATTGGAGAAGAAGGAAAACTCAAGAATGCATGGGTTCAATGGAGAGGAAGGACAGGGGAGGGGGATGAAAAAGCAAATAAAGAGACCATGAGGTGTTTGGTGCCATAGTAAGATGTTCAGATTTATTGGTTGGAGTATGGGATCTTGCAGAAGTTTTAAGCATGGTATCTACTTTATGTCTTAGGTTAATGACTCTAAAAGAATGAAAGAGTATTAAAAGACAGTATTAGGAAAAGAGGAAACAGGACCTTTAATCCAGCACTTCTTTAATCATTTGTGGGAGAGGATTATTCCTCTCTCTCTCCCTTTCTCCCTCCTCCCCCAATTCCTTTCTCCCTCTATTCTTCCCTCCATTCTTTTTTGCAGTCTGTCACAGACCAGCATATGGTTAAGTTGCTTGATTACTGCTTAGATGTTATAGAAATATCAAATTGTTTAAAAAGTTGAGAAACATTTACTTTCTGAATTTCTGTACTTATTACAGAATGGAAGCAAACTAAAGTTTCAATTATTATGGTGTAGACTATCCCTTGTGATCAGGCCTCTCCTTACTTCTCCAGTCTCATGTTCACTGCTTACCACAGTGAGCATCATCTCTCCAGTTTCAGTGAACATCTCAGTACCTCTTGAAAATGCCATCTATTTTCTAACCTCCCCTCATCTTTTAGATTCTGTCTCCTGCTTCCCTAATCTACCTGATCAAGTCCTATTTTGGCAACAATGTTCTAATGGTTCTTCTTCTTGAAGCATTCTTGAATATCTAGGATGTGAGTCCTTCTTCCCCCATTCCCCTGCCAATGTTGCCACATCACTTTTTAGTGACAGTCATTCTGTCACCAGCTATCATTCTTGGCAAACTGTTATGCAGCTACTACTTTCAAGATTGCTTTACTGTGTCATGATTTTGGGGTCCTTGAGGGTTTTTTTTCCCACTTCAGAATTGTCAGAGTATAATAGAGGTTCAACAAATTCTGAATGAAACAAAAGTGCATTTTTCATTATATGATGGATGTGAAAATGTTCTTTGGGATTTGGTAGATCTGTTCATCTCAACTATTTAACATCTATTTTGTGCTTGTAGGCTTTACTAAAGTTTACAGTGGGGAAATTTAAGGGATCTATTCCTTCCCTCCGTACATGAAGACACATAGCAAAGAAGAAGAAATAGTTTTGAGACATCAAAAACCACCTGACCAAAAGGACATATTTTATGTTAACATTATACTAAAATTCCATTTCTAACATTGCTTATTATATTTCATTTCAGTTAAACACAATTCTAAATAAAATGAGCACCATTTACAGCACAGGAACAGTTTGTAACCCAAATAATCCACAGGAGTGCTTATTACTGGAACCGGGTAAGCTATTAACTCAGAGTAATGAGTTTTTACTCTCAAGTTTTAAAAATGAGATTGACTTTAGATGAGGGCATTGTACTTTTTGCACAGGTAATCCAAAGATGATAAGGTTTCAAATATGTGAGTGTTAACACACAAATAATTTTAACTTTGAAAACCCCCATTGTAAATTCTATAGCATTCAAGTTAGTAATTAAATGTTTTTCATTGGTACATTTGCTCTGTGGATATATTTGGACTTATAGAAAGGCAAGGAAATGAATCACAATATTTCAATTAAATATTTTATGATCTTTATGTCTGCCAAACTTACTTTTAATTCCTTCAAGTTCCTATAGTTGCTTATAGATGAAAGTTTTACAAGTTCACAAGTTAATTTTCTTTTGGGTACTTTGGGCTAACAGGTTTGGATGACATAATGGCTAAGAGCACTGACTACAGTGAGAGGCTCTGGGTATGGGAAGGCTGGAGGTCTGAGGTTGGCAAGCAGCTGAGACCATTGTATGAAGAATATGTGGTTCTGAAAAATGAGATGGCAAGAGCAAACAGTAAGTGTGCTGGTCTGTAGACACTCTCTACCTTTCTACGCAGTCATTGCTCTTGCATTACCAAACCTTTCCCCAATGGATGAACAACAATCACTTGCTAAACAATTCAGGCTACCTGTCTCAAGAAGAAACTACTGGAGCACAAGAAGGTCCATTGGAGCTCTATAGTTTAAAGAGCTAAGGAATAAGATTCAACTCTCAAACGAACTGTCCAGGATTATTTCTCAGATAGGATGAAGACAGAGACAATATCCCTTACCTAAACCCTGGCTACAGTTCATTCTCAAAGGTCATTTGTGTGTCTACCTCAGGGTGATGTGCCAAAAAAAAGTCAGATTACTTTAGACTGGAAGACTTTTGTTTTCTGCAGATGTAATTATAACTCAGGCAGTCACAAAATACCTTACCATAGGAAGGAATGTTCAAAGTTTTTGCCTTTTTCTCCTGCATTAATAAGCTGAATTCATGATATTATGAAAAACTATGCTTTGGTGATTCACTGCCCCCTGGGTTTGAATAAGAAAACATTATTTCTAATTTCTCCTACTGTCACTTAACTTCATCTGCACAAGCCTTAAGGAAGTTGTAGATGGTAGCTTTTATTAATTTTTAATAAAAGCTCACCTATCCATCTATGTTCTCATTTTCCTAATCATACATTGACAAAGCAAAAATAAATATGGTTAAAATACATTTGTAAGATTTATTAGCGAATATTCTGACACAAGCTTGTGTTTCTTGATGGTTAGACACTAAGTAAAGCCCATAGAAGTATGCTGTGTATACACATAATGTACAAAAAACGCAGGCTCACTGTTACAATGTCTAAGATTAGTTCAGACCATATCCGAAAATATAAGACACTGAACAAGCTGGGTGGTGATAGTGGCTCACGCCTGTAATCCTAGCTACTCGGGAGGCTGAGATCTGAGGATTGTGGTTCAAAGCCTGCCCAGGCAGGAAAGTCCATGAAACTCTTATCTCCAAGTAACCACCAGATAAACCAGAACTAGCATTGTGGCTCAAGGGGTAGAGTGCTAGTCTTGAGCTTAAGAGCTGAGGGACAGTGCCCAGGCCCAGAGTTCAAGCCCCATGACAAACAACAACAACAGCAAAAGACATGAACAAGATGAGGGTTTAAAAAATTAGAGATTCAATTGCATTGCCATTTTCTTCTATAGGCCTTTGTGCTATCCCTGAGCTATTTTTGCTTGAGGCTACTGATCTACCACTTTAGCCAAAGCTCTTTGGTGTTTAATTGTAGACGAAAGTCTCATGGACTTTCTAGCCCAGGCTAATTTCGAACTGAGATCCTCAGATCTCAGCTTCCTGAGTAGCTAAGATTACAGATGTGATCCACTAACACCAAGCCCAAAATTATTCTAAGAATTAGATGTTTTAAAATATATAGAGTTAGAGGCTTTGCTTAAGTGGTAGGGCACCAGAGTGAAGCATGAAATTCTGAGTTCAAAACTCAATACCACCCCCAAACCCCAAACATGTTACTAATCTGTACAATGAGGACTATAACATGATAAACTGGCTTTGTGCTTATTAACTGAGATAGTTGAAACTTCTGACATAAAACAAGTGCTTAACAGAATTATTTAGTCTTGTCATTCATTCCTATGCCTTTGAGTGAATAAAAATGTGATAAACCTTTAGATTTCTATTAACTTCCCAGCAAGACTAATTTATGTCATCTGTATTCTCTCTCTCTTCTTTCCCTTATGTTCTCTTTCTCTTTTTGCAAAAGATTATGAAGACTATGGAGATTATTGGAGAGGGGATTATGAAGCAGAGGGGGCAGACGGCTATAACTATAATCGCAACCAGTTGATTGAGGACGTGGAACGTACCTTTGCAGAGGTAACTGAGGAACTATGGACAGGAGACAGTGACAATTGCCAGAAGCATTCTGAATTGGTCTTAACATAGGGATTATCCAAGTCTTGTAGAATTTTATAATATCAGAAATTGAAAAAAATTGAGACTAATAGGGCAGCCCTTACAGATGATCTGTTTTCATTTGTGTCAGTTACTTATTATTAATAGTAATTATAATGAATAGAGACCATAAGAAGGTATGATATTATGATGTGAGATATCTGAGGCTAACAGTCTTTCTTCATAAGCAGAAGAGTAATCTCTACTTCCTTTTGTGGGACAATTAATACCACGATTTCATCTGCTATGTCATCTGCTCTATGTCATACTGCTCTGCTTAAGAATATATAGGAAGTGAGAATCTTACAAAAAACTAAACAGGTAATGTGTTAAAATGACTGTTTTGCAACTTGTTCCAGTTTTGAATCTCTATTCTTTCAGTTATTCTTTTAGATAGAGGTAGTGGGGCTAGCCATCCTAATATATGGAGAAAAGGGATGCTTTCAAACTATCTAGAATATTTGATAGGAGAAAAAATATTTTAGAGAAATTCTGCTCATATAAAGAAGCTCTTATTTCTAGAGGTGGCATTGTAAATTTAAATTAGCTACTTTTGGTCTTAAACTTTTTTTCTGGATCTTTCAGATTAAACCATTATATGAGCATCTCCATGCTTATGTGAGAGCAAAGCTGATGGATATTTACCCTTCTCATATCAATCCAACTGGATGCCTTCCTGCTCATTTACTTGGTAAGAAACAGTAGGAATTCCTCCTATTCTTTACCATCTTAGAAATCTTAGACATGAATAACATGATTTTTTGGAGTAAAGCCTAACATAAAACTTTTGGAAAATTCTGCAACATAGAAGTCACATTTTGAATGCACTTGCTTCAACAGAAAATCAATATCAAGTCCTTATTGTATCACTAATTTTTCATAAAGAGTTATTATGTTGGTTCCAATCCAAAGGATGAAGGAGATTTTAAAGATAACTGGAGAAGGAATTCCAGGTTAAAACAAGCACAGAAATGAGGGAAAGAATTTTTAGGATTCAAGTTGGTTAACTAACCTCTTGTGGAAAATTTGGGATTTAAGTATCGTATTGTTAGAGGAATGAAACTTGACAGACTAGTGGTTAGGAGTGAGAGTAAGGCTTTCTACAATCAAAGTATGACCTCAGGGAATGCTTTTGGAGTCCATTATAAACTATGCCAATAAGTCTTGCTGAAAAGTACTTGGTTTGGCATGACATGAGTAATAGATAAAGGAAAATGGTTATCCTCCTCTCTTTGACCATTGCATCCAAGGCAAAATAAAATAGAGGTATCAGAAAATTTTGTGCCATGAAAACATAGCATCCCTTCTTACAGCCAAGCAGACTTCTAATGCCTTTTAGCGATTTCTACTATTTCCATGCTATTAAGTTACTCAGAATATGTTCATTCTTTTACAAGATGACCTTACAGATCTACATAAACAACCATCATATATGACAAAGCATAGCATTAGCCTAGGTTATATTTATTACACTTTAGTGAGTGTTATTGTTATAATCATGTATATTATGTATGTACTGTTTTCTTTTTACTTCATGTTGAATATAGTATACAGATTTGTAGCCATTCCTTCAAACCCAACTTTTCTTATCTGTTGCATGAGCTATAATTTATCTAATTGTCATGACCAGAACAGTTATTTTAGGTAAAGTTCAGCAAACAGACAAATCAATATCATATCTGCCTTTATTGTAGGCACTATCATTTTATCAATTTAGCTGAAGGTCATGTTTGTGTTTTAGAAGACATGCCATTCTACTTGTGGGCCATTTTGGCTCTTTTACTGGTCTTTTACTTCAGCCTAATGATTGATACACACACACACACACACACACACACACACACACACACACACACACACACACACATAGGTATAATATATATACTTCTATGAAAGATATGCTTTTAAAAATTGTTCTCTCTTAGCATATATTAACTGTGCCAAGGGGCTTCATTAATAGTTTTCTTAAGGCTTGTAAAGTACTTCAGTCATATTCACCCACATTTCAGCCTCTCCTTTCACTATCTCTATTACATTTTATTTATTTTAAAATGTACTAACTGGAGTATTCTTCACGTAGTTGTGCTGCCTTGTTTCTTTGGTGCTCTTGATAGTAGATTGAAGTTTTCTGCATATGTGCTTACCCAGTTAAATATATTATTATAATAATAAAAATAAAGCTTAGCTTTCTTAGAAGTTTTGAATAATGATCTTATATGATCATTTAAAATCCAATATGAGGCATTTGTAACATGAATTGGAGCTTATATAAATTTCTAATCTATACTTGCTGTGTATTCCATATATTTTAATAAATTGCACCTTTGATTGGTAATTTAAAATGGAAGAAACTGGGCTGATTCACTAACAACCTTTGCCTAACCACATACTTCCTTGCCATTTTAGTGTCATAAAAGAGGTAGAAGAAGGAAATTCTGGAATTTAAAATTAGAGAAAGAAATAAGAAAAACAGATGCATTAAAAAGGAAGCAGAGAAACCAGATTGTTTTGCAATTCAACCTCATGCACATTATAAAGTTTGGACTGTCTTGTGCTATCATTGTTATATTACTAATGTGCTTTCTTTGTCTCAAATAGGTGATATGTGGGGTAGATTTTGGACAAATCTTTATTCTTTGGTCATTCCCTTTGAACAGAAGCCAAACATTGATATTACTGATGCAATGGTACAGCAGGTAGGATGAAGCCTTAAAAACATTCTCAGTTCTCAATTGTATTCTTTGTGCGCCTCCCTTTAGTTTATATCTTTTGTGTGTGAAATCATGATAATAAAAAAATTCAAGTTAACTTAAATGTATTTTTCCAGGAAAGTAGTTTCCAATGCCAGTGACCTCAAGTACCTTGAATAATAGTATAGTGTTGATACGGTTGCTGATTAATCAGTCAGTATTGTTTGTGAATAGTAGCAAGAATATATTTTCATATTAAATCATTATTGTTAAAATATTAGAACCATTTAAATCATGCTCTTTCCTTTTTTTTCTTTTACTTTTGGCAGTACTGGGGTATGACCTTGAGACCTCACACTTGTCAGGCAGATACTCTACCAGTGAGCTACACTTTCACTCTTTTTTTGGTATTGCTTATTATTTTCATGGGGTCTTGCTTCCCATGCAGGAAAGTGTCTGGTCTGTTGCCTGCCTATTTTTGGCTTTTTATCCTGTCTAGGATAACAGGTAAACATGACTGTGCCCTGATCTTAGTTGAGAAGGGCCTTGTGGACTTTTTCCTTCCAAAGGCTGCCCTTGATCCCTGGTCCTCCCAGTCTCAGCCTCCCAAATAGCTAAGATTATGGAGTTAGCCACTGGTAACGAACTTTTTAAGACACATTTTCTTATCACCATGATACAATTGTTTAAATTCTATTTTCTTTCTATCAATGCAATCATATTAGAATTTTAATTACATATTTTCCTTGTTCAATTAAATTCTGTATTTCTGTATAGAATTAGTATTCACACTTCCATTTGCCTTCAACATTTATTCAGATGATGAACATTTGCTTGTTAACAGTTTAAAATCTGTATATAGTAATATAATAATGGACATCTTTTTTCTTTTCTTTTTTCTTTTTTTTTTTTGTTAGTTGCGGGGTTTGGACTCTGGGCCTGGGCACTGTCCCTTGAGCTTCAGCTCAAGGTGAGTTCTCTACCACTTGAGCCACAGCACCATTTCTGGTTTTCTGGTAGTTTATTGGAAAGAAGAGTCTCACAGACTTTCCTGCCCAGATCTCAGCCTCCTGAGTAGCTAGGATTACAGGCATGAGCCACTTGTGCCCAGCTAAGAACAATCATCTTTATATAACATACTCTAGGAAGATGTTCACAGAATAATAACTTAAGGCTGCAACTCCTCCAGACTCTTGCAGCTTTCCTCAACCTTTTTTGCAGTTGAACAGCAGCAGATGCCCACTTTTATGTTAGTCTGTCCCTTTTCCAAAGTGTTTTCCCATCCCACCTGTTCTAATGTTATTTATGAGGTTATGAGAACGGGTATTATTAGAATTCTGTGCTGTTAAGTGAGGCTCAAGCAAATGATTTTCCCAAAGTTACATACATAATGGCAAATAACAATTGAACTCAGAAATTCCAATATTTTGACTTTGTTTTTCTCTTTATTCATTAATTCATCAATCCATTCTTCATTCAAATGACTAGATGAAGAAAGAAGAGAATTTGTTTGAGGACACTGGAATAAGAAAGTCTCTGTTAACATAATCCAAAGGCACAGGGCAAAAAAGGAAAAACCAAAAATAATAAAAACCTTTTGCCTAGCAAAGGGAACAGCCTACACAATAGCATGACCACCCACAAAATGGGAGAAAATACTGGGAACTTTATATGACATCAATACAATATATGACAATGTTGTGTATTAATATCCAAAATATATAAGCAACTTTAAAAAATGGACCCCACACTTAGAAATTTCTCAAAATAAGGCGAGTAATCAATAGTTATATAAAAATTTTGTCAACAAACATAAGGGAAATGTATATCAAAACCCACTTTAAAATATGACCTTATTCCAGTAAGCATACCTAAATATCAAGTGATGGTGAGAATATGAACCAAAAGTAATCCTTTCACACTGATATTGGGATTGAAAATTAACATAGCCATTGTTGAAAACAGTATAGCACTTCCTCAAAAAATTAATAATAGGCCAGGCGCCGGTGGCTCATGTCTGTAATCCTAGCTACTCAGGAGGCTGAGATCTGAGGATCACGGTTCAAAGCTAACCTGGATAAGAAGGTCCATGAGACTCCTCTCCAATAAACCACCAGTAAACCAAAAGTGGCACTGTGGCTCCAGTGGTAGAGCGCTTCCCTTGAGCTGAAGAACTGAGGGACAGTGCCCAGGCCTAGAGTTCAAGCCCCATGACCAATAAAAAATAATAATATGATCTAGAAATTTGATATCCCAATGATGGGAAAATATCCAACAGAAGTTAAATCAGCGTGTTGAAGAGAATCTGTACTTATATTTATTGAAGCACTATTCATAATAGCCAAGAAAGTGAAACAGTGTAAGTGTACCAATTGATGCATGGATAAGGAAAATGTAGCACACAAACACAGTTGAATAATATTCAGTCATAAAAAGAATGAGTCCCTGTCATTTGCAACAATATGGATAGAAGTGGAGAACATTATGTTAAGAGAAAAAAGCCAGGCACAGTAAGTCAAGAACTGCATGTTTCTCTCATAGAATTGAGAGTAGAATGGCAGTTACTAGAGGCTGAGGACAGTAGAGGGGAGAGAAGCATGGAAGTTAAGTAGAAGTCAGAATTTCTAGTGTGCTATATAGCACAGTTTATTGACTAGAGATAATGATAATGTATTGCGTATTTGAAAAAGCTAAAAAAATCTCAAAAATTTTCAAGAAATGAACTAGCTAAGTTTATAGCTAAGTGTTGCTTAGCATGCACAAGGCCATGGGTTCGATCTGCAAGACAGCACATAAATAAATAATAAAAAGATTATAAATGAGCTAGATATGTTTACCATGATTTGAACATTATATAATAGATACTTGTATCAGACCATCACATGGTACCCCAGAAATATGTACATTTTAATATCTTTATGCATTAGTTAAAATTAACTCAAAGAAGATTGTCACAATCAGTATCAATTGCCTTTAATGCTGGGCTTTGTGAATCCAGAAGACAGCATTATCACTGAGCTCCGTCTCCAGCCTGATACTATACTTTTGAATTTTAATTTAAAATAACACACAATTTCTATTCGATTTCTTACTCCCAGGGTTGATACAGGAGAAAACTAAACTTGGCTAGTGTCCAAGATCAGAGACAGTTTTTCCATGTTACTAAAAATGATTCCTGAACTACTTATCAATTACACAAACTTATTTTTTTCTGATATAGGCCTTATGTCCTAAGCAAGGTTGGCTGTCTCCTGAGACATCAGTTTCAAGAAGAATTTGCTAGATGGCAGATACCCATGACTGTCTTTCTCCAGTTCTAAAACATTATGAAAGTTTAGGTCCCATATGCATCATGAAGCCAAGGCCCAACTAACTAATGGGCTTTTAGGCCACATCTGAACCTTTTTTTCCCGTAAAGGCTGGTGCCTTCATGTCCACTCTAATGTGTCTTCTATCAAGGCCCTAACCCCCAATCAGGTCCTTGATTTGATCAATTATTTTTGCATTGAGCTGAAGTCTTTAGTAAATAGAAAATTGAAAATCATTGTGTTTTTGTTTGTACTTGAAATATAACAACAACAAAAAATGACCTGGGTGTGTAGCTCAGTAGCAGAACACTTGTCTAGAATGTGTGTGGCCTGGCCTCAATTCCAACTAGTGGAAAATAATTTTTAAAATATCACATGTAATCTCACTTCCTCTACTGCTAACATTTTCATGCATTTCCTCATCAGGATGAATTCCAAATTTGTGTTTTTATATTTTACTTTCTATTAAATTATATTTTATAATATCATTAAAATCCTTTAAATATAATTCAGCTGGCCACACAATTTTCCTTCTATAATGGTATTATTATTTATTGAATTATTCTGATGATTATTTCTACATTTTTTTTACTATTAAAAATAGTACTCAATGTAAGCCAGGTGCTGGGGGCTCACACCTGTAATGCTAGCTACTCGGGAGGCTGAGATCTGAGGATCTCACTTGGAAACCAGCCCAGGCAGGAAAGTGCATGAGACATTTATCTCCAATAAACTACTCAGAAATATTTGGAAGTGGCACTGTGGCTCAAGTGATAGAGTGCCACTGTTGAGCACAAAGAGGCTCAAGGACAGTGCTCAGGCCCTGAGTTCAAGTCCCAGGCCCAGCAAAAAAAAAATACTTTGATTTAACTTCTGGTAATTTCCTAAGAAAGGAAAAGAGTATAAACATTTCAAATATGTCCATATATGTTGTTAAATTTCTATATGCACAGATTATGCTAATGGATGGATCCAACTGAAATGTTAAATGCGGGTATCAAACATTATTTGTTATTTGCTTTTTGCTTCCAGGCCTGGGATGCAGATAGGATATTCAAGGAAGCAGAGAAGTTCTTTGTGTCTGTTGGCCTTCCTAAAATGACTCAAGGATTCTGGGAAAACTCCATGCTAACTGAGCCAGGAGACAACAGAAAAGTGGTCTGCCACCCTACAGCTTGGGACCTGGGGAAGGGCGATTTCAGGTAATTGGTCTGTTATTTATGGTGCAGATACTTCAATGGGAAACAGTGAAGTCAGGGATTACTTCTCTTTTTCTCTGAGTGCAAAAGAGATAAGCAAAAGCTCCTTGGAATAAGGCTGGGAATCCATGAAAGCATAGATGGTTTTCCCAGGCAAATATTACCAAAAAGGCACTAAATGAACCTTTAGCCAATTTGCTTCATTGAAACTATTATATGCCAATTCAATTCTCAAAGTCATGAAGGAAGGCAATATGTGAATCAGAAGTTGATCCTCCTCTGTGCTTTGCCTTGTAGATGTGATTGGATAAGTGGATGAATAACAAGCTAGGCTAAAAAGGAGAAAGGGATGTGTCCTAAGAGGACACTTGGCCACATCTGGATCAGATATTTTTTGTTTGGCATTAGAGTTGGGCTTAATGTGCAAGAAGAGGCTGGACAGACAACTGGGAAGACATAGCAGGGTGGGAGAACATCAGCGAGGCCAGACTTGTATGTATTAGACTCAGCAAGAATAATTCAAGTTAGGCTAGAATAACAAATATGTGAAGGCTAATCTGTATGATGTGGCTGAAGGGACAAAAGCTTTGGAAACCCAGGTGTGTCTCTTAATGAGTAAGCAACCTTGGACAATGAATTTAACCCTCTTGGGTTTCACTTTCCTTATTCATAAAACTAGGACAGTATTTCCCAGGTTGAAGGCTTGTGTGTTTAAGGTGGGTTCTCTAGCTTAAATCAGAGACTTTTTAAGAAGTGCTTTATTGAAAGAGAACACTCAGGCAAGTAGGAGCAAGGCTAGAGCAGTGAATGGAGATAAGTAAGTAAGGATGTAATTGCAGTGCAGGCCATGTGGGTTCAGGTATAAAAGTGAGCCTCTATTTAGAAAATAACTAAGGTGCCAGGCACCGGTGGCTCACGGCTGTAATCCTAGCTACTCAGGAGGCTGAGATCTGAGGATCACGGTTCAAAGCCAGCCCGGCCAGGAAAGTCTGTGAGACTTTTATCTCCAATAAAGCATTAGAAAACCAAAGTGGTGCTGTGGCTCAAGCGGAAGAGTGCTCATCTTGAGCTGAAGAGCTGAGGGATAGTGCCCTGAGTTCAAGCCCCATGACCAACAACAACAAATAAGCCTAAAGCAAAAAAGATGGATGGCACAGCTCAAATTGTAGAATGCCTACCTAGCAAGTTAGAAGCCTCGATATCATAAAAGAAAAATTATATGGAAGTTATCCAGCATACACTTTTACATACAACTATATCAATACAGAGAAATCAAGTGAGAAAGGCAGATTGGAGTTATATTGGAGTGTATGAAAGAGGCAGATTGGAGTTATATTGGAGTGTATGAAGGAGGTTGAGTATATGACTGGGCAGTGAAGGGTATTAAGTAGTGGTGATATGACTAGCATGGTAGGAGAATTAATTTGGAAATCTATGAAATTGTGATACCTACACCTACCTGAATGAAAATGCTCTTGCCACGCTGAAAGAGAACCACCATCTAATTGCCAAATGTAGTTCTTATCTCATTGGGCCACATCAGCGTCAGATAGTATTTACCAGTTGTCATTCAATTGTCATTTTTCATTGACTTCCACCTCATCCTGCTCTTTCAGATTCCTTTGACCTCTGGGTGTTTTCTGTGTCTCTCCTGAGACATCTTCCTTTCCCACCCCCCCCTCCCCCCACCCAGTACTGAAGTGTCCAAAGGCTATGTCTTTGGCCCTCTTACTTCCCATTCTACTCTTGCTTCCTAGGCCATAACCCACTCCATGACTTTATTCTAATATTTTCTCCGTCTCGATGTTGAGCCCCTTTGACTATGTTTCTATCCTGACTATATTAAAATGCTTAAAGGATCCCGAATGTCATCTTCTTTCTCAAGCCTTTTTCTCTGGGCACTTCCTGGAATGTCAGCCTTCCTTCCAAATTCCTCCACATTGATCAAGGTCTCATTGCTCTTTGCATCCTCAGTTATGCCCTTCATGGTGCTTTTAGGAGGCAGTGCCTGCATTCCCTCATTGCTATGCCCACAGGCCATGTTCACTAGTTATTTAAACAGCACTTTCCTTGGAGTTTTTGTAGCAGAGGGCTCTGCTTATTTTCTTCCTACTAGTGTGTGAGTAGACTAGGATTCATCCCTGCTCACTGCTTTATATTGGGCAACCCATTTATAAGAACATTAGAAGTAGATACTCAAACTTCAGTTGTGCCTACAACTGTGAAAGAGAACACATGCCACCCAAACTTGTGAACTTATAGCAGAATTAAATTGATTAAATGAAATTCAATAATACTCGTTTTAATTTCCATTTTGTGTAGAATCAAGATGTGCACAAAGGTGACAATGGACAACTTCCTCACAGCTCATCACGAGATGGGACACATCCAGTATGACATGGCATATGCCACCCAACCTTTCCTGCTAAGAAATGGAGCCAATGAAGGGTTCCACGAAGCTGTTGGGGAAATCATGTCACTTTCTGCAGTTACACCTAAGCATCTGAAATCTATTGGTCTTCTGCCACCCAATTTTCATGAAGATAATGGTAATTTTTTTTTCATGATTAGGGGGTTCATTAGTCCAAGGTGAGCAAAAGTGTTTATTTTCATGTGTATGAGATATTTCCTTTTTTTCTACATAAAGTATATAAAGCATACCTGTACAGGTAACTGGATATTGATGCTGGTACTAATGTATCAGAACATTCCAGTTTGTACTTTTTTTCCCAGGGCTGGGAATTGAATATCAAGCCTTGTGCATGCTAGGGAAATAATCTCAGACTTCACTGCCTCTCCAGTCCTTGTTTTATATCTATATCTATATCTATCTATCTATTATCTATCTATCTATCTATCTACTATCTATCTATCTATCTATCTGTTTTTGGGGGGGTCCAGTCGTGGGACCTGAACTCTGGGCCTGGGCGCTGTCTCTCAGTTCTTCAGTTCAAGGCTAGCGCTCTACCACTTGAGCCACAGCGCCACTTCCGGCTTTTTTCTTTTTGCTTATGTGGTGCTGAGGAATTGAACCCAGGGCCTCATGCATGCAAGGCAAGCGCTCTACCACTGAGCCACCTTCCCAGCCCCCTGGTTTTATATTTTTAAATGAGGAATAAGAGAATCAACTGAAAGAAAGGTATTGGGACTCTAAAAATATCTAATAGAAACTGGGTGGGCTTTTTAAAGATGCTGAAATAATCCCATACAACTGAAAGGCTTTGTCCAAGGTCACGCCTCTAATCAGTGTCAGGCTTCTGAGTAGAAGATTCTGGTCCTGGGTAAAAACTTCCCCCAAAGATTAGAACAACAGGAACAGATACTACAAAAAAATCATTTTACCAAGGAGGAAACTAAAGATAAGGGAGGAAAACTAGTTCATAGTAGAAAGCAACATAGTAGCAGATCTAAAAACAGAATCCTGATTTAAAAGGCTTTCCCACAGTATAATGCAAAGCAAAGTGTGGTTTGAATTTGGGGGGGATTTTTCAAGAATGAGTGATGAAAGCACTCCAAAAATGAGTGGTAAAAGTCACTGAAACCTTTCTATTTTTAGTGAAAGCCATGTTTTAGCTGTAGCTTCCCCTCAGACCCACATAATTCCTCCAAGTCTTTGAGGCAGCTCACCTTGACCAAGGTGGTCTATTTTGCTTTCTGTGGATGGCTTGGACTGGTGGAACACAAAAATGTTCAAGAGATGTCCATTTGTCAGTGACTATACTATAGTTTTTTGTAAAAGGGCAATTAGACTTTAATACTTTCTCCTCTTCCATATATTCCTTTGCTCTTGTTTTGCTCTTATGTATGGCACACTGATCAGCTCTATTGGCTGGAACATTTGGTCAATGAGGTCATGAACTCTGTCCTGTCTAGGCAGTTCACTTTGCCTTGATTACTGGCTTCAGACCCTTAGTGATCTCACAGGGGCCTGGAAGTAGGCCAATGGAAAGTCACCATGATGTCTTAAAAGCATTTTCAGTTCTTGCTAAGGAAAAGGTAGTACATTTCAAGTCCATTGCACTATTTTGGTTATCTGTGGATTTTATGGGCTGTTTCACCCCTTGTTCTGGGTCTTGAACTCAAGGCCTGGGCTTTGTCCCTTAGCTTTTTCACTCGAGGCTGGAATTGTGCCACTTGAGTCCCACTTCTAACTTAGGAGTCACATGGACTTTCCTACTAGGGTGGCTTTCAATTTTGATCCCCAGAGCTCAGCCTCTTGAATAGGTAGGATTACAGGCATGAGCCAACAGCACATGGCCTGATTGATATTTTTAATTAAATTTATTCCTAGCTAGTACATAAAATTGTACATGCTAATGAAGTAACATGACCTTTTGTCACATTATATAATGTTTAAATCAGAGCAAATATATACATATATACACATATACACACATATAGACATATGTATATGCATATATGTCTATGATATATTGATATATATATATATATATATATATATATATATATAAAATCTCCCCACACAGATTTAACATTTCTCTATGGTGGAAATGGTCAAATTATTTTCTCCGGTGTTTGTGTTTTGTTTTCGCAGTGCTTAGGATCAACCCCAGCACCAGGTACATACTGGGCAAGTGAGTTTTCACTGCTCTATATATCAGCCCTCTTTTAACATTTTGAAATATACGGTACATTATCCTTATCTATACTAGCCTACTGTGTAGTAGCCCAATATTTTTTCCTCTCCCTGCTTTACTGGCTTTGCACCACATCTGCTCATGTTTGCTTATTTACCAAGGGCTCACAGAGGACATTAGGTAGCAGACACTGGACTAGATATACAGTCTTGAATGAGGCATTAACAATCACTGCCTTCATGGAGCTTTCAAAAATAAACAGAATGACTGGGAAAGTAGATGAAATAGCCCTAATTAACTCTGGTAAGGAGTCATTTTAAAGAAGACCATGGAAACGAATAAAAGACATAAGGATTAGGGTTAACATTTAGATTTTTATTTATCCATTCAGTTCCAGGGCTTCATCCTACTTTAAATCCCTTAGTTGAAAAGTGAATATATATACATGTTATTATGTTAACTGCCAATATTGCTTATGTAATTAAGGGTATCTTGTAGAATAATATCTTCACATTAGGCAAATTATTTTGCACACAAAACATCCATTGAGAGTTTCATCTTGATAATTTCATTTTCTATTTCCTTTTTAGAGACAGAAATAAACTTCTTACTCAAGCAAGCACTCACCATTGTTGCAACGCTGCCCTTCACATTCATGCTAGAGAAGTGGAGGTGGATGGTCTTTAGGGGTGAGATTCCCCAAGAGCAATGGATGAAGACGTGGTGGGAGATGAAGTAAGTCTGTGAATATGGAGTCATCAGTGTTTTCTTATGATTTTGCTGTGTATTTAAAAACATTTGAGGCCAGGGGCTAGATGCTCAAGCCTGCCATTTTAGCTACTCAGGAGGCTAAGAGCTGAGGATCTGAAGCTAGCTCAGGTAGGCAAATCTGTATATGAAACTCTTATCAATTATTTACCTCTAAAATACCAGAAATGGAAGTGTGGCTCAAGTGGTAGAACACTGGTCTTGAGCAAAAAAAGCTAAGGGACAGCACTCATGCCCCAATTTCAAGCCCCAATACCAGCATATGCACACACACACACACACACACACACACACACACACCAAGACTGACCTCTACAGACATTTGTGCATACACACATGTATACACACACACACATACACCTCTATGTCAAGAACACTAGAACCCACAAATGGCAGAAGTGGCTGAAGACCTAGTGCCATCCCCATCAGTCTAACCAATGACTGATGGGAGTTGATAGCCAAATACTTCAGCACCCCTAATCTCAAGGTAGCTAAGTCTTGTGGTAAGTACTCTATAAGAATCATGGAATTCCTTAGTGGGAATAGGCTCCAATTACCTACAGTAGGAGCTTCCTTGATAACACATCTTTTGCGGGTGGGGTGGGGGACCTACTTTCCTTTCCTGGTCTCATGTCCTTACTTCTTTGCCAGTATACCCTCGAATCCTGTTCCTGAGAGAATGTGTCTAAAATATCTAAAATGACTAGAATTGGGATTCTCAAGGGAAGTTTCATAGTGAGAAAAACTAGGATCTAAGGAGGTAAAATCTTGACAGTTGGTAATAGTAGAATTGTATTCAAGTTAGGGGAATGCTATCACAATATACAGCCATGTCTCCCTCCGCGCACACACACTCAAGCTTCCTTTTAGTAAATCTTACTTGAGAAAGGAGTCAGAACTCTGATTTTAGTATTTGATTATGATTGCAGCTCTCCACAGTGATCTCAGAATTATGAAGGGCAAAGCATTTCTTTTAAACAATGCCAAATACATGGTTACTTTACCTATTTTTCTGTCTAGGGTAATTTTTTATTGCTCTTAATTTTAAAGGGACATAGAATACTTTTATAGTAATTAATTAATGCATAGCAACTAAATGTTCACTTAGTCATTCACAAACAGAAACGAGGACTTTCCTTCATGCCCAGGACATGGTATGTACTGTAAACATGGCTAAGACACAGCCTTACTCTCTAGGAGCTCATATTTTCAGGACAAGAAGAAGTGCTATGTGAAAAACTACAACATAGAGAAATGGCAAAGAAGGCATAGCTAGAGAAGACTAAGGGAGTTGAAAGTTAAGTATGTTGTAAAGCAAGTGATAGCAGAGGCAGGCTTTCTAGAGGAAGGGACATTTCAGCCAGCCTTGGAGAGTAAGCTTTCTATTTTACCAAATGATATCTTCCAAGAACACAAAAATGTGGTAAGAGTTATTAGGGTAATGGCAGGTGATGTCCTTTATGACTGTATTAGTGTTTTGGAGATTATTTTCCCTTGGTATATTTGGTTGAATGAAAACAATGAGATAATCACAGAGGGCCTTTACTTTCTTATCTTTTTACACCATTGTTATTTCACCTCTCCAGTATAAATCCTGTTGTTTCAAGAAACTGCAGTAGTGGTGAGCAACTCTACCTTCTCATGATAGTTGACTCACAGTTAATCTAGCTCTTCCTTTTATCCCCAAAGGCGAGAGATCGTTGGGGTGGTGGAACCTGTGCCTCATGATGAGACGTACTGTGACCCTGCATCTCTGTTCCATGTTTCTAATGATTTCTCATTCATCCGGTAAATGACCATTTTCTTCTCTCTATTTCACTTGTAGGGTTTAGGGACAACTTGTTAAAAAGAAACCAATGGGGCTCAATAAAGTGATAATTCCTTTTCTTTTTCCACTTCTCACTCAATGCTCAAAATAGATGATCAATCTCCATTCAATCCCACGTGGTTAATTGAGTTAAATAAAACTGGAGTGAGATATTTTCTGCATCATCAAGGAATCAGTAGGCTCACAGGGAGACACAGAAGTATTTTCTTTCTCTTCTTCTACTAGCAGAGTTCATCATGTATTCGAAGAACATTTTAACATGAAGTCTAAAAGCCTATTTTCTTAACCTATTAGTGACTGATCTTGAAAAGATAATGTCTGGAAAAGATAATACAAATGTGAGCAGATGCTTAACATAGTAAATAAAAATAACAGAGTAAATAAATAATACATTTTATTTAACAGAGTAAAATAGTGATAATAATGATATATAAAATGAGAATCTGCTAATACATAAATGCAAGTAGATTTTGATGTGTCTACAGAGTTCATGTTTAGATCTTTTTGGAAACCACTAGTTGGTTAGTAGTTCTGTGGTCACTTGGGCACATAATTTCAATATATGCTCCAATCAGTGACCCTACCATAATCATTAAATATGGAATTTCTTTTCACTGTTTTTTGTCTTTTGTACAGATATTACACAAGGACCATTTACCAATTCCAGTTTCAAGAAGCCCTTTGTAAAGCAGCTAAATATGAAGGCCCCCTGCACAAATGTGACATCTCAAATTCTGTTGAAGCTGGACATAAGTTGCTGTAAGAAATGCCTCAAGCTGGGCGTGGGTGGCTCATGCCTGTAATCCTAGCTACTCAGGAAGCTGAGATCTGATGAGTCCGTGAGAATCTGATCCCCAATTAACCACCAGAAAGCTAGAAGTGGCACTGTGGCTCAAATGGTAGAACCCTTGACTTGAGCTGAAATGCTCAGGGACAGTGCCCAGACCCAGAGTTCAAGCCCCATGATCGACAAAAAAAGAAAGAAAAGAAAGAAAGAAAGAAAGAAAGAAAGAAAGAAAGAAAGAAAGAAAGAAAGAAAGAAAGAAAGAAAGAGAGAAAGGAAGAAAGAAAGAAAAGAAAGAAAAGAAATGCCTCAAAATGTCAAACCTCTTCTAGAACCCAATTATTACTCATTTGAATGTCTAATTTTGAAGGTGATTTCTCTTTGAGACCTCAAAAATTACTTATCCATAGAATAGATGTTTAATTTGTGATTAAACAGAAACATAAGCCATGAAATGTCTGAATAGCCATCTGGTCTATGTCATAACTACAGAGCTCTGTTTGTAATACTTGGAAGAGATTAGGGCTTAATTCAGCCCTTAGTTTGGATTAGAGGGACATTGGTGGCTCATGCCTAATCTTACCTTCTTGGAAGGCTGAGATCTTGGGATCAAGGTTCAAAGCTAGTCAAGGAAGGAAATTCCATCTCCAATTAACCACAAAAAATCTGGAAGTAGAACTATATTTCCAGTAGTAGAGTGCCAATCTTGAGCAACAAAGCTAAAGGACTGCACCCAGGCCCTGAGTTCAAGCTCCAATATTGGTACAAAAAATAGAGTGAGTCTATCTGTTAATGATTCTAATTTTCTTACCAGCCAGATGCAAATTTAGCTAAATCAAAGAAAAACACCTGAAGTTAGTCAAAAAGCCCTGAATACTCTCTTATTTCCCCTGTAGCAATATGCTGAGACTTGGAAAATCAGAACCCTGGACTTTAGCTTTGGAAAATGTAGTAGGAGCAAAAAATATGGATGTGAGACCACTGCTCAACTACTTTGAGCCACTGTTTATCTGGCTACAAGAACAAAACAAGAATTCTTTCGTGGGGTGGAACACTGCATGGAATCCATGTGAGTACTGAGTTGACACATTTTGTATCATGCTCTGTCTGCTTCCCTGGGTCTCCTTTGGTCCCAGTCTTATGGTGGCTATGACACATCTGAGTCTATGTTCCCTCTATGTAGAAACCCTTGCTGAGTCTACTTCACATTTTTTCAAGGCTTTTATTAGTCTCAAATTTACACTATTATAATAGTCTCCACTTGATTCTTGCTCTTCAAAGACAAATAGAATTTTTATTACTATTACCACTTCTCTCTGGCACTTTCTTATTTCTAGATAATTTGTATGTATTGCTAATTTGTTATTGATTTTCAGCTTTAAACCTCCTCTTCCACCTACAATTCCACTTCTATTTCTCATTTTCCCAGTAAAACAGCTATCGATGTTGACAGAGCCAAGCAATAGTCTTTTTTTTGGATCATTTCTTATGTGGCCTGTCATAGAGTTTCTATGTGTCTCAATTTTTTTTGCATACCTAATTTTTCATCTGCATTGTGGTTGCTTTTCCCCAATTCTTCCAACATTATTTTTCTTAGTCTTAGGTTTTTTTTCCCCCAGAGATGCCTTTCTTACAGACTTGTATCCTCCTGTCACAATATAAACCACAGTTTTCCTCCTGAGTCAACCCTTTTTTGTGCTCTTGGGATGAATCCACCCATTCCTGTTTCCATGTCTTCTTTCTGGAATTACCCCTTGTCAGAGTACAACGTGTATGTGACTGTCAGAGCAAGGGTCCACAGAGTAGGGGATTAAATGTTCCTTTACCCATTAAAAGTGCCTTTACCCACACTCTGACTTCCAATTCCTTTGTTTTCAGGGCACTATCATCTTCCCAATTGTACTATACCTGAGTCTCAAACCTCTGTGATTGTGTATCCCTTCTGTCTAAACCTCGGGCCATGGCTTCCTATTCCCTGAGAAAGCAATTGCCTTCTCCCATCACTTTCTCATTTTCCAACAGTGTGTTTATACCTTTTAAAACATTGCTTAGCTGGGCACTGGTGGCTCATGCTTGTAATCGTAGCTACTCAGGAAGCTGAGAACTGAGAATCGCCATTCATAGCCAGCCCAGGCAGGAAAGTCTTACCTCCAGGAGACTCTTACCTCCTATTAACCACCAGAAAACCAGAAGTGGTGCTATGGCTCTTAGTGGCAGAGAGCTAGCCTTGAGCTGAAGAGCTCCAGGACAGCGATCAGGCCCAGATTTCAAGCCCGTGACCAAAATAAATAAATAAATACATTTATTAATGGGATCTTGGGAAGGGAGAGAAATAAACGTGTCAATCTGCCATCTATAACTAGCACTCTGTGATTTCTCTTTAATCAGATAATGACCAAAGCATCAAAGTGAGGATAAGCCTGAAATCAGCTCTTGGAGATAAAGCAGTGAGTATTCTGGGTGGTTTGTTCATGTGTTTCAGTGTATTCTCTTCCTTGAGCAGGAGACAGTATACCCATTCCAGTGTGAGCTACACACAGAGGAAACCAAATAGTTCTCTTTAAACTATAACCCATTTTATCTAGGTAATACCTATTTTTTACTTACTACATTGAAGGTGTTATGAAATCAGTGCAACATCATCTAGATAGATCATTAAATATCAAATACTCATCCTTCCCATTGATACTTAACATCATTACTTGTATTCAAGGAAGAAGACATGGTTGTATTTTGAGTCATTTGATTTTAGAAGCATTATGTTTAGATTTTTGTTAGTAAATCATCTATATCCATATCTAGATCTAGATCTAGATAGTTCCTGGCTTTATTCACAGCATTGTCCATGGACCAATCAAGGGCACTTACATCTTTTGATCTGAATCAATCAAATGTAGACTCTCAGGCCCCAGCCTTATGCCTGCCTAATCAGAATCTGCATTTTTTTAACCTCCCTCATGCCTGTAATCCAAGCTATTCAGGAGGCAGAGATCTGAGAATAGTAGTTCAAAGCCAGCCTGGCCAGGAAGGTCCTTTAGACTATTTTGGGGTGTTCTAGTACTGGGGCTTGATCTCAGAGCCTGGACACCATTCTGAGCTATTTTACTTAAGACTAGTGCTCTACCACTTTGAGCCACAGCTGAAGGTAGTGGAGATAAGAATCGCACGGGCTTTCCTGTCTGAGCTTTGAACTAGTACTTTTGTCTCCAATTAATCACCAAAAAGCCAGAAGTGGAGCTGTGGCTCAGGTGATAGAACATTATCATTGGGAGAAAAAGCTAAAGGACAGTACTCAGTACCACCCCCCCCCCCAAAAAAAAGTTTTCAAATCTCTTTGGGTGATTCTAATTCCAGTAAAGTTTCATAACCAATGACTTAGTGATATATTTTGGGGTAACAAAGTGTTTTATTGAAAATCCTATTACCTCTTTATACAAATTAATTTAATTAGCTATTATTCTCTCCTGAATCTCTATCTCAGGTAACTTACCCTGAGGAAGTATATTAGTAACTTTGATTTAGGAAAGAAGAGAGGACAGATAGTCTCAGACAAATGGGGATCAAAGACCTAAATGGGGTGTGGCAACATGACAGCTTTGCAAGTTTCCAAGTTGTCCTGGAACTTTCAGATAAAACAGTCCAAGGTGCTATAGAAAATTACTTTCTCATTGCAAAAATCCAAAGATTGCATTTCTACCCTTTTGCTGATCCTAAGAATTAAAATATTGCTCAAGATTCAACAGTACTTCTAGGATAATTCTAATAGTTATGTAAGACATGGAAATATAGGTAGCACAGGTATAGAAAAATTTAAGAAAATAACCATAGAAAATTTTAAGAAAATAACGGTAAAAATAGAAGTTCACTGCTTTACAAACTCCTACACCCATTTATTAATAATTGTTAAATGTCCTTGAACTTACTTATTTTTGTCATAGTTATATTAGCTCTTCATTGGCCTAATGACTTTTAACTACTGAAAGATCAAAATCCTTTTCAATTATCATCTGTTTTTCTTTTGTATATATTCATGTTCATGTTTTCTTTCTATGCATCAGAGACTGGTAGTCTTCAGCTGGTTTGATGGTTTAATGCCCTAAGGCCAATTAATCAAGTTGAGGGGAACCAAACTGAACCTTTAGTGTATTTGCACATCAGAACAAAACCAGCTGCCCATTCCAGCCAGTTAGTGGCAAACTTCAACCTAGTCTATGGCATTATTTCAAAATTCATCATTAATTGTTTTAATATAAAAGCAATAACATGGATATTATTAATCACAATATCAATAGTATTATTGCTACTCTTTTTTTTTTGGTTGGTCGTGGGGTTTGAACTCTGGACCTGGGTGTTGTCTCTCAGCTCTTCAACTCAGGGCTAGTGCTCTACCCCTTGAACCACAGCACCACTTCCAGCTTTTTCTGCTTATGTGGTGCTGAGGAATCAAATGCAGGGTCTCATGCATACAAGGCAAGCACTCTACCACTGAGCCACCTGCCCAGCCCCTTATTGCTACTCTTAAAACAACTCCATCCTCCCCAAACTTGGGTGAAATCAAGCTGAAGTAAAAATGATATTTTTTAGACAATTTCAACACAACGTAATAAATGTTATAAACAAATGCATAAGAACAACTGTCTGGAAGTGTAATTACTCAGTTACACTTCCTGGAACATTTCCTTTTTTAAATTAAATTTAATTTTCCTACTGTTCTTGATTCTGGTACCCTGTATCTTGTATATACCTTTATCTGATTTGGGGAAGGGAAAGGGAACAACAAAATAATGAAACAAAGGACAAAGGGTGAAACAATGCAACAGTGATACTCACAAGACACTATGTTAGAAATGAACTTTACAATTTTTTGGGGGGATGGGAGGAAGAGGGAAAGTGGGAGAAAAATGAGGGAGGGAGTTACAATGTTTGACAAATGTACTCATTTACCTTACTTATGTAACTGTAAAAGTGACATTGTTTTGTGAGGTCATGATTCTTTTTGTCTGAAGGGAAAGTAGAAATGCAAATCTGCTGCTGCCTCCTGCTGGAGAAAAGAGTCAATGCTACTTTTTCTTTGTCTTTTAACACACAAGACCTTTAGAATTGGAAAACAAGTTTACCCCCTCTGTTCACAGGGACTCCCACCTATAGTCCTGTCTTTAGAGTGCTTATTTGAATTTAGATCAAATCAAAGAAGGAAAGATAGTGAGACCAATGGTTGCTCAAGGAACAGCATTAGCCACCCACCCAAGAGCTTCTTCATGATGAAGTCTCTTCATTCTCAGCACGACAATCTGAATCAGGAGCTTGAGGGTCTTTTAAGCAGTCCTCCATGTATTGCTGGGGCCCATGAACACTGGAAGTCACTGATACAATGAATAGCTAGAGTCCTTGGGATGGTAACAATAAGGCTTAACAAGTATTTGGTTTAAAAAAAATCTGTCCTCTGATCCTTTCTGAGCAGTATCTTTTTTTTTCTGAATTTGCAGTATGAATGGAACGACAATGAAATGTATTTGTTCCAGTCATCTGTTGCATATGCTCTGAGAAAGTATTTTTCAGCAACCCAAAACCAGACAATTCCTTTTCGGTGAGTTCATTTGCTGGGTTCACATGTTCTCTAGCCAGCAATTCCCTTATTCTCAAGTCTGAGGAGCTGCTCTGCTTAAGCGTTATTCTAAGTTAAATTAATAATAATAATTTAGAATAATAATAATTATATCATAATTTCTCTAAGGAAGATTAGGAAACATTTCCCAATGACTTAAATGTCTTTTACATCCTAGAATTTGGGACCACCCTATTTAGGGATGGTTGTGGTTTATTTGACTTGGAAATGACAAGGACAATGTTCTTATTAAACATCTTGTGCCCTCAGCTCCTTAGAGTAGTAATGGAAAAAAAAGATTAAAATTTCTACCTTCATTATTAATGTGTATATAAGTGAATTCTACAGAAATATGTGTGTTATAAGTGAAAAAATAGAATTCCATAGAAATACGTGCTAAGGAGAAATATACAATAGGAAGAGTCAGGGAAAACTGGTGTGTGTGTGTGTGTGTGTGTGTGTGTCTGTGTGTGTGTCTGTGTGTCTGTGTGTGTGTATAAGAGTTCACTTTTAACCAGAATGGTCAGAAAAGACCTTAGTGATATTTGAGCAAGTATATGAAACAGGAGATTCAGTGAGGCAGACAATGGGAGAAGCAGATTCAGCGGGTGTCAGCAGCAAGCACAGACTCTGAAGGAGGACTATGCTCACCTGTTGAAGGAACAGCAAGAAGGCCATGGTGGTTAGAGCAGAGTCTAGAAGACAAGTAGGAGGTTGTGGGTAGGGGTGAGCAATGAAAAGTCATGTGGGCCGTGAAGGTCATTTTAAGAACTTTGTTTTTTTATTCTTAGAAAACAGGACTATTGGCCATGTGATCTGCTTTAGTTTCTCTAGGATTATGGCAACTATGTGGGCACTGTCTTTTAAAAATTCATATTCTATAGTAAATCTCACTTTCACCTTCCCCCATGGGTGAAATGTTGTTTTATAATCTTAGGAGGGGCTGGATTAGAGAGCATCAACACGCCACCTCTTTTGATAGCACTGACCCATGTCTGTCCACCACATCTTTTTCATGAAAGTCCTAGGTTATCAATTCCTTGTGGATTCTGTCAATGTTTTCGCCTGGAAATTTTGCTATCATTGGAAAAAGTGGCTTTGTATGATGCAGAATTACCATTGGATAGCGTAGCTTCTATGTAGGTGCTTCCATGTGCTTCCAGAAGTGTTCATTTGTTTGAACAATGATGTTTTCCATTGTTTACTGTGTCTCACATCTCTGTCTTATGGTCTGCTCCAAAATCTCTGTTCCATGAGTACGGAGAGTATCTTTATTGTGTTCTCTGGATCACAGGGAAAATGTTTCTTTTGTTTCCCCACAGGGAGGAGAATGTGAAGGTAGAGAATTTGACACAAAGGATCTCCTTCACATTCTATGTTACTATGCCTAATAACTCATCTGACATCGTCCCTCGAGATGAAGTGGAAGCGGCTATCAGGTGACATTTTGCTTTCAAACAAACCAATAAGGACAAAGGGATTAGCAAATGTAACAACCATTGCTAGCATTTAGTGTGCAGGTGTTGTTCTGTCCCTTCTACATGCTTTACCTTATCCCAAACCTGTGTTTCAATTCCAGAAGAATCCAGCATCAGGAGAACTATCTTGCTTTTACATTTTCTAGACCCTTAAGACAAGGATTTAAATAGTTTATTTGGGAAGCACTAATAAAAATATAGATAGGAGGAAGATAGGGAAAAGAAGACACTAGTTGTATCTTGTCAAGAACTTCCCACTGTCAGCAGCTAGAGCTCAATCCTGCTGGGTAACTGTAGAACACTGTGCAGAATGTGCCTCTGGATTGTTTCTGGCCTGTGAATGGGGCAGGTTTTTCAGTCTGACAATGCAGATGGCTGATGGAGGTCTGACGAGCATCGTGGAGAACAGTCAATGTAGAAGGGACATGGATAGTTATTACCATGATATGTTGTAGGAACATTGATTTAGGGTTGATTTAACTGCCCAAAGCCTGAAAGAAGGTATATACGAAGAGGATTCCTGAAGCTGTGGCTATACTCCATACTTGGATGGGGACTTATATGAGCAGCAAGAGCTTAGAAGAAATCATTTTCCCTCAGTTTGTCTCAGCACTTTTGCAAAAGACAGCAGAGGTGGAAAATGGATAGTACTGATAGATGATTCCCCCTTGTCATTACCAAAGGCCTTATATACTGAGCAGCTCACTAAGTGCCACCTGTGCAGTGTGTGTCTAGAAAAATCTAGCTGGGTTGAGGTGTATGACACAACCATGCTGGGCATTCCTGTCTTCAAAAGATTCCTGTGTGTCTTAGGAGAAAACGCTGGCTAAGATGGCAAAAGAGCCTTACCTTCCAAGATACGTGGCTACAAGCTGTAGGGGATGTGAAACTTCATTTCCAGAATGACTTGAAAAACAGGCCCTTGAGTTTGCAAGGGGTTGCTTGGCTAATACTGTTTTGACCTCTTTCTTTCTCTGCTGGAATGTGACTGCCTGATCTGGGCTCTACCTAGGGTAGGAAGATGTGATGCCAGAGACTTAGGTCTTTAATCCAGAATGGTCTCTATTTCACTGTTTTTGTCGTAAATAATCATGATTCCTGGTCTCTCCATAATGTATACCCATTTCCCATCCTGGTGCTGGAGAAACTGGCAAAGGTCTTTCTGTATGCTAGTCCTCAGTGATGTTTTAAAATGGCAGTACCTCTTACTTGGAAAAATTTTCCTACAGGGACTTGGGTATAGACATGATTTATTTGTAGAAGAGAAGTATTCAACTATCCTTTCCCATTACTTTATATATAGTCAGTGTAGACATACTATAACCAATGAGAAAACCTTCCAAATAAGCTAACTTGGGGTTTAAAGCACAGTCGTCACAGTTGAACAGGTTTTCCTCATTTCCAAATTTCCACATTTTGCAGCTTAGCCTTCCAAGGAGGCTGTTGATGAGCGTCAAATTATGAAAGATGTCTGATTATCAGACATTCCCATGTGTATTTTGGTTTCTTTTTCTTTCTTTCTTTTGTGTCAGTCCTGAGGCTTGAACTCCAGACCTGGACACTGCCCCTGAGCTTTCTTAATTTTTTTTTTCCTCAAGGCTCATACTCTGTCACATGAGCCACACCTCCACTTCCAACTTTTTGGTCATTCATTAGAATTAAGATTCTCATGGACTTTCCTGCCCAGGATTGAGTCTCCATCCTCACATTTCAGCCCCCTGAATAGCTAGGATTATAGGCCTGCACCACCCGTGACCAGCTCTACCTTGATTTCTTTATTATTTTCATTGTAAATGACTAAATACAACTTCATTTTGCTTAAGTGTCCTCTTTTCTGTGTTTTGCTTTTGTGACTAGGATGTCCCGAGGTCGTATTAATGATATTTTCTGCCTGGATGATAACAGCCTGGAGTTTCTGGGCATTAATCCAACACTTGGACCTCCTTACCAGCCACCTGTCACTGTATGGCTGATTGCTTTTGGAGTTGTCATGGGACTGGTAGTGATTGGCCTTGTTTTCCTGATCGTTGTTGGGATCAGAGAACGAAGGAAGTAAGTACCCTTTCCTAGAATTATCTCTATCTGAAAAGAGGAATATTTAGGGAATACTCAATGGAAGAATTTGCCACAAGATACAGGATCGCAGTTGGAAACCAACCAGGGCAGGATAGTCTGTAACTCTTATCTCCAATAAACTACTCTGAAAAATATAGAAGTGGCACCATGACTTAAGAAGTTGAGTGCTAGCCTTGAACACAGACAGACTCAGGGACAGAGCCCAGGCCTTGAATTCAAGTCCCAAGACTGACAAAAAATGAGGGGTGGGGGAGGAAGAAGAGAAAAAGAAAAAGGAAAGAAAGGAAGGAAATGAAAGAAGGAAGGAATTTTGCTCCTAAATATTCAGATGTATGTCCCCTAGAAAGTTAGCAGATATCATCAGCATTTTGCCTTCCTAGCAAGTCCACATAGTGGATACATAGCCTGGAGTTTATTAGCATGCTTTAGTAAACTCCATCTCAGCCACAGCCATTCCCCGACTTAGGAGAGGCACTGAAACTCAGCAGGGGTGACATCTAAGTGGCCCCAGGGGATTATCCTCATTGCATAGTCCTCCTTAGTCTACAAGCGACCCCAGAGACTGGATTGACAATGGATGTGAGCTGCTCAAGAATAAGCTCTAAGATTTGCTTCAAACTGCTATTCCCTTTTGCTTCTTTGGATCATTGACACTCCATGAAATTGTAGTGCATGGACAGGCATCTCCAACTTGGAGTTATAGTGCAATCTTTCCATACATGCACACAATGTACCTTGATTAAACTCACTCCCTCAACCACTCCCCTCCACCCCCTACTCCTTGATTGAGGATTTCAATTATTGCACATCTGATTGCTAGTGTTGCTTTGCCACTAGATTTTTTTCTGACTCTGAGAAATAATTGACTCTGATTTTGTTAAGCATATGAAATAGATTAACAGTATTTTACAACACCTACCAAGACTCTATGTATACTTTCTGTTCTCTCTCTCTCTCTCTCTCTCTTTCTTTCTTTCTCTCTCTTCTTCCTTCCTCCCTTCCTTCTTCCTTCTTCCTTCTTTCCTTCCTTCCTTCTCTACTCCCTCTCTTCTCTCTTTCTTTCATTTTTTTGTCAGTACTAGGGCTTGAACTCAGGGCCTGGGCTCTGTTCCTGAGTCTGTCTGTGCTCAAGGCTAGTGCTCTACCACTTGAGACATGGAGCCACTTCTAGCTTTCGTGGAGTAGTTTATTGGAGATAAGAGTTACAGACTATCCTGCCCTGCTGGTTCCCAACTGTGATCCTCACATCTCAACCTCTTGAGTAGCTAGAATTAAAGGTGTGAGCCTCTGGCATCCAGCTTTCCTTCTTTTTTCTTTTTCTTTTCTTTAGTTCTTTCTTTTTTTTTTTTTGCAATACAAGAGTTTGAACTCAGAGTCTTGTGCTTGCTAGGCAGGCAGGCACTTTACCTCTTGAGCCATACTCACAGCCCTTCCTTTTTGCTTTAGTTATTTTTAAGATAAGGTGTCATGCTTACATGTGTTGCTTTGCATGGCTACTTTGTTGAGAAGAGCCTCAAATCATGATCCTCCCAACCTCTACCTCCCACGTAGCTGGGATTACAGATATGAGCCACTGCACATGGCTTTATGTTCTACATACTTTATCTTCTAGTTAGCATGTTTTATTTTATACATGTTTATTTTACCTAACTTATACATTCTTATCTTCTACTTAGCATGTTTTGAGAACCTCCCATATTAGTTACATGAAGAGACTTTCTGTTTGCTGGGAAGATAGTTTCTTATTTTATGGATCAATCATAATTTTGTTAACTTGTCCTCCACGAATTGACATTTATTGCCTGTGTCTGCTTTAAAAGAGTATGATGACTTGATATAGGTCATTCCTTTTGGGCATCAGTTTAGCTGAGCAGCAGAAATACAGTGTTGAAGCCAATGTGGACTTCTAATTTTGGTGACTATTATTCCCCAATGGACTTCAATAGAGACTCAGTGAGTATATACTTGTATCATCCATTCACAAGTGTTCCTGTTTTCCCAAATAGGCATCCTTACACAGGATGCCACCAAAATCGTGACGCATCTGGTTAATGCAAAGTGCCCTTCGAACATTACATCGAGGTGACTTTGTTTTCTTTAACAGGAGATCTGAAATAAGAAGGGAAGACAATCCCTATGCCTCGGTGGACATCAGTAAAGGAGAAATGAATGCAGGATTCCAGAACACTGAGGATGTCCAGACATCATTTTAGATAAACTCTTTTATTTCCTGAGATAATTTTTACTAAATAAAATGATAAAGATATCATTAAATGTCAAAACTCTGCCTCTGTTCAGGAAAAGTTGTCCAGAGACAACCTGACTGAGCAGTGAGCTCTCAGTGTTTATTTCTGCCTCCACACTTCTTCTCTTTCCTATTAGACATCTTTATGCTAGAGTAAAATAGGCAAAGCATATCGCTGGCCTCACAGGGCTGTTGGGAATGAAGGGAAGTGGAATGGAGGGGGATAAAGGAACAATGGCTATGGCAAAAAGGGAGATGTATCATGGGTGTGACTGTCGTATATTGTTTGAAATCTGTGGTTTCAGGGATGGAGACTGGTGAATACTGTTCACCTGAATTGAATCCAAGTCATTTGTAACAGTTATGGTTAGAATGGACCATGATGGCGTCAAGGTGGCAAGTCTAAAGGAGAAAGAGAATCCAGAGATCAGGTAGAGGAGATTGCCTTTTCCTGACAGTACAAACCTGACACAGGGGTTTCCATGAACTCATGTGAGCTTGCCTGTTAGAATCTTACCACCATTATTTTCTATCTGGGGTGAGTGGAAATTCCAAGCAAATGTTCCCCCTCTAAAGTGGATCTTTTGTATTAACCCACAGTGTATGAGGCATGCTGCACACAAAGTAGACATTCAATAAATGCTTACTTGATTTATACACTTTGATGGTCTTTTGAGCACTTGTATACTGGGGCCCCTGCTCATCCTGTCTGCTTTTTACATTGATATACAAAATTATAGTGTGATTATCTGTGATCTTTGACATTCCAAATATGTTGGCATGTTTCCTAAATTCTTAGATTGCTTTATTGGACAAAATAGTTGTTAAATCATTCAAAAAGACTTGTGTCCAGATATATTATCAAATCAGAACTGAGGACTGCTTTGTATTTCTAGAGTACCTAGCTTAGTTCTGAGCACAATATCTACTATATACTTGAAGAATGATTAATAGTAGCTTAAAGAGATTAATATATCCAAATTCTACTCATTAAGTTGCAATATATGCTAACTTCACTGGAGTGATTTTAAACTTAATTCACTATAATCATGGTAATAGTGGATCAATTAGTCACTACAGAGGAGAATGAAATAGCCTCCTGATAACTAAATCAGGCTGGGTAATAACTAAGGTGTATGAATCTCAGATGGAGTTCTTTGTCTGTGTACAAAACCCATGACCCCATGGTCAAGCTTCCATATTATCATCTACTTTACCATCATGCCAGATGTTGGGCCTACAGCACAGAGCGTCATAAACCCATATATACTCCTTATTTACATTCCCATTTCATAACACCTTTTTCTCCAATCCATGAGGAAAATATTATGCCAAGCTACTGTTATGGAAACAACCCACCTTTGAAATAGCCACAGTCTCTTTATGGAGTTCTAATTCCTAGTATTGGTTTAACACAATGTAAAGGTAACCTCTATAGGGATCAAATGTACCACCTAACACCTTCAAAAGAGCTTCCCCAACTATGGCAGAGGATGAGTGGTCAATGGGCACATGACAGTGACAGTCTCCATTTGAAACACAGAAATTAGAACAACATGCTGGTTTTCACACACACACACACACACACACACACACACACGCATACACACACACCTATTCACAAAACATGTACAGAACAGTGTGATCCTCATCTCTGTCCACCAGGAGAAGCTTGTGGTCCTACTACTAAGGCACTAGCATCTTCTGAGAGAATGGAGATTCTACAGAGAGGAATCTGTATCTGGGTATAGGATGAGAGTTGCCAAACTATGATGCCTGGCCAAATGCTTTCCATCACCTGTTTTTGTATGGCCTGTGGGCTAAGAAGGATTTTTGTGTTTTTTTTTCATGGTTGGGAAAAAAGTGGTTTCATGACACATGAAAATGATATAGAATTCAATTTTCAATGACGATAAGTAACATTTTATTGGAGTACAGCCATACCCATTCATTTTCATATTGTCTAAGAGTGCTTTTGTGCTACACAGAAGAGGGAAGTACTTCACATTCAGATGGCATGGCACACAGCACCTTTTTATATGCAGACATCACTGACACCTGGGATATGAGGAAGTAAGTATTAGATGAAATTACAAATGTGAAAAAACATTGTGGAGCTCAGAAATCTAAGGAAGGTGAAGTGAGTATTTCCTTCTTGGGAAGAAAGGCCCAAGACTGACAGGAATCAAGGCAGAAAGGCTAGGTGCAACCTTCCACTTTCTGATGTCTCCCAAAGACTTATTCTTCATGTGAGATTCAGCCTGTCCTCATATAGGTAAATTTGGGGTTTCAAGCTCATTATCTCCCCTTCCTATACCAGCTCTCAGGTCACAATCAGAACTGAGAAAACTCAGCTTTTTAAAATCTACTATGTCAGAAGCTTTCTTTTGATTAACTCAAGAAGATATGATATTACTTTGATTTTTGGCAGATCAGAAAAGGCTCAGAAAAACTGCTAAATTCACCTAGTTATTTTAACATCACCATCATTGTTATGGTTTGTGCTGATACTGGGGCTTAAACTCAGAGCCTGGGTACTATTCTTGAGCTATTTTGCTCAAGACTGGTACTCTGCCACTTGAGCCACAGCTCCACTTCTGGCTTTTTGGCGGTTAATTGGAAATAAGAATCTCATGTTCTTTCTAGCCCAAGCTGGTAATGGAACTGTGATCCTCAGCTCTCAGCCACCTAAATAGCGAGGATAATAGACATGAGTTCACGGATGGCCAGCTGGGTTTTACCTAGTAGTGCTACCTGTGAAGTTGTGCTCTGTATTTGCCATTTGGGAAAGGGTTTTTTTTGTCAGCCTTTTCTTCACTATACTCTCTGCACAGTGTAGGCAGAATCCTGGTTTAGAAGGGTAGCAATAAGTGCTGTATATCACCCTGAAGCAAAGTTCTACATCGTTTCAAGATCCATTATGCTTGTTTAAAAAAATAGCACATTCTTCTATTCTATTCTATTTAGCTCTTCCTGGCATCACTGGACTTATTTTCTGATAAAGTTTCTACTAGTACCTTAAGTTGTTCCTTCATTTGATTTTTGAAGCTAGGCTTCTAAGCAAAGCTTTACCTTTTTTTTTTTTTTTGGTCAGTCGTAGGGCTTGAACTCTGGGCTTGGGTGCTGTCCCTGCGCTCTTCAGCACAAGGCAAGCGCTCTACCACTTGAGCCACAGTGCCACTTCTGATTTTCTAGTGGTGTATTGGAGATAAGAGTCTCACGGATTTTCCTGCCTGGGCTGGCTTTGAACCGAGATCCTCAGATTTCAGCCTCCTTAGTAGCTAGGATTACAGGCATGAGCCACTGGTGCCTGGGGTTCTTTTAATAGTAAACAATTCTGTATTGTTTAAAATTTAGCAACCAGCATGTATGACTTTTTTGCCAGTTCTGGGACTTGAACTCGGGGCTTGGGCACTGTCCCTAAGCCTCTATTGTGTTCAAGGCTAGCACTTTACTACTTAGGCCACAGTACCACTTCTGGATTTTTCTGAGCACTTTTTTGGAGATAAGAATCTCATGGACTTTTCTGCCCTGGCTGGCTTTGAACTGTGATGCTTAGATCTCAGCCTTCTGAGTAGCTGGATAACAGGTGTGAGCCACTGTCATCTAACTATATTACTTTTCTTATAAAAGCAGAATAAGATTTCAGTGGCTCTCATGTATAATCCTGGCTAGTAAGGTGATTGAGATCTGAGGAACATGGTTCAAAGCCAGCCCTAGCAGGAAAGTCCATAAGACTCATCTCCAATTAACTCGTTAAAAAACTAGAAGTGGAGTGTGGCTCAAGCCAGATTTGAGTGAAAAAGCTCAGGGACAGTGTTCAGGCCCTGAGTTCAAGTATAGTACCAGCACACACTCAAAAAAGTACATTTTTTAAAAAAGATCAATTATATAAAAGTAAGGGCAATAAAGGAAAACAAGCTTGAAGGGGGGGGGAACTGGAAAGAAAGGCTTAGCAGTCTGTAGCAAAGGTTACCACTGCATAAAACCAGAGAGAGCAGGAAAGGCTCCCCCTACCTTTTGAGTCTGAGACATTAAGAAAGAAGGGTTGTGACACACTTTCCTTCTTTTTCCCTTAGGTGGGGAAAGAACCTGGCATACAGCAAACACTAAATAAATGAAGGATGGTACCAATACCCGAGTGCTTCTTTTCATTATACATTGACATCAGTGTGCTTCTATTAAAATCAGAAGCACCAGATTGTGGCAAATCTCTGCTGAAATAAAGGAATCACTAATTAAATGTCAAGGAACAAATAAGCAAGGGTGACATTTGAGCTAGCTGGTAGGAGAGGGAGAGGTGGAAAAAGAGAGGGTGTGAATGGTTCTTAAGGGAGACTATTAATTTATATCTGAAAATAGCAATAGGGCTTACCTGAGATGTTTTTACTGTAATAGTGACTTCCACATAACCTTTTGCTGTCTATTGTTGATACAGAAAATACAATAATAATTTTCCCTAAATGATGAAAATTTATGTATTCAGCCCCATGCTATAGGAACCATTGAAAACAAAATCTTTTATAATAGCCTTCTGATTTTTTTTTACTGGTTAATGAAAGATAAGAGTCTCTCATACTTTTCTGCCTTTGAAGCAGGCTTCAAACCTTGGTCCTCAGATCTCAGCCTCTTGAGTGGCTAGGATTACAGGCATGAGCCACTAGTGCCCAGCAGTATGTACATTTTAATAACAGATTAATCTCCACTTCATACCCAGGAAGGCTAAACTTTGACAGCACTGAAACATAAAGGCAAATATCCACATTTCTTGATAGTGTATTTATTATCCTGATAGTGAAAATAGAAAAGTATGAGTATTCCACAAATAATCTTTTTTAAAATTTTATTCTCTTGTAAAGATGCTGTACAAAAGGGTTACAGTTCCATGAGTAAGCTAATGAATACATTTCTTTCTGAGCATTTTTACCTCCTTGTTTCAACAAGTAATTTTTTAATTCTTCTTCATCTGTACACATGATTTGCACCTTCACTGCATTGCAATCTGGAAACATACTTCTACTAGAGGCTAGAAACAATTACACTGACAGCAGCACAAAGAAAATGACCTATATTTTAAGCATTTTTTTTTGTTTGAAAACCATTTGTCCTCAATTTCAAACACTGTTGTTTCCTATATTGTCCATTTCTAGCTAATATAATAATGCAACAGAACATTACTAAGAACTAGCTAAATTATCTTGGGCCTTGCTACTTTCCTTAGAAAGAACGAATGTGTCGGCCAACATTTATATCATTCTGATCATGCTCCTAATTTCTCCTTCAAGGCTTGTCTTTTTCTCGAAGTGGTTCAATGGAAGACAGGAGCTGCTGAAATGTGGGACGCTTTTCTGGAAGCTGAAAAAGAAAAAGCCATTGTTTTAGATGACAATCGTAATGATTAGAAATAAACATACCTAAAACTTTTCTAATTCAGTTTCAATCCAATGTATTTTGAAATGTGGAAGTGCCACAAACATTTCTGCTAAGATTAGGAACACAGGAAGGATGGTGGATATCACTACTGCTCTTAATATTATACAGAAGGTGGTTTGCGAAGGTGGCTCAGTGGTAGAGCACTTGCCTTGCATGCCTGAAGCCCTGGGTTCAATTCCTCAGCACCACATAAGCAAAAAGAAAAAAGCCGGAAGTGGCGCTGTGGCTCAAGTGGTTGAGCACTTGCCTTGAGCTGAAGGGCGCAGGGACAGCGCCCAGGCCCAGAGTTCAAGCCCCACGACCGACAAAAAAAAAAGATTAAAATGCCATTAACCATATCAAAATATAAGGGAGAAGCTGGGGGAGTGGGGAAATAGTGGAAACTGCTAACAGATTTATGGCTCAGATGAAGTATTAACATCCCTAATTCAGAAAGTGATCTTTAATATATGGTAGGAAAAGGAGAATTATGGTTTTTAGAAAGATAGGCACATGGCTTAAAACAGGCAGAAATCTTTTTCTCTGGGTGTTTCTAATTTGGATGCATAATTAAAAGCTGCTTGATGTTTTTCAGCTGCAGTGTGTGTGTGTGTGTGTGTGTGTGTGTGTGTGTGTGTGTGTGTGTGTGTGTGTGTTGTGATGACTGAGGGTAGAGGTGGAGCCTGATGTTTAGTGCAGCCTCATACCCGATATCTCCTAGTAGTTCTATGAGGACGATGGATACTTTGCAGATGTATCCTGTATAACATTAGGTCCATGACTTCTCCATAAAACAGCCTTAGCTTCGACCTGCATTGGATGCTGTCTTTCAGTGTATGGAACGCTCAGGAGGTCATGATGGGATAGTGTCTTTTTGTGTTCTCTACATGTGCTTAAAAACTTCCATCACACATTTTCTCCTTGAGGAGAGAATCTACAGTTTCATGATGAAGAACAAGGACCTTGGCATTAGCCACACCGCCTCTTACTAGTTGTGTGACCTTCCGCAAGTCACTTAGTCTTCCTAGGCCCCTCTCTCTTGTTACTTCTTGTGATGATAGTCGTGCATAGCCTCCCCACTGTGTGCTTGCTGATGAACTACTGTTTACAGATTTCCTAGAGTGTGCTGGACATAAGGTGTTCAATAAATGACAGGCATGCACATTGTTTCTTTTAGATCACAAATGCTGGAAGACAGGGTCCCAGAACAGTCCACCTGTTCTTAGCAGGTGCTTTCCCTCACAAAAGCATTGCACCTGTGGTGCTGCAGCGACTGCCATAAGGTATCTAGGACCCTTTTAGAACACTCAGGGCCATACTTGCCTCATGCCAGCAGCTGTACATGATCTGATAGATGGTGTCTGATGCTAGTTGTGGCCGGTATAGTCTGTGGCCCTGGGAGACCTTTACAACCACCTGTGAGTTGTCGTACAAATCATAGGGCTGCTTCCCCAGGCTGAACACTTCCCACATCAGGATCCCTGCATCACCGATGGGAAGCCAACAGACAAAAAAGAAAGAACCAATGTTAGATGTGTGAGGGCTTAGCTGGGTGCCCAGTGGCTCATGCCTGCAATCCTAGGGGCTTAGGAGGCTGAGATCTAAGTGTCTTGGTTTAAAGCCAACCTGGGCAGACAAATGTGTGAAACTCATCTCCAGCTAACCACCAAAAATTGGAGGTGGAGGTGTGTCTCAAGTGGTAGAGTGCTAGCCTTGAGGAAATGGACAAGCAAGAGTGTGAGGGAAGAAAAAGGAGGAGGAAGAGAAAGAACAAGGAAGAAAACAGAAAGAGGAGGAGGAAGAGGAGGAGGAAGAGGAGGAGGAGGAGGAGGTAGAGGAAGAGGAGGAGGAGGAGGTAGAGGAAGAGGAGGAGGAGGAGGTAGAGGAAGAGGAGGAGGAGGTAAAGGAAGAGGAGGAGGAGGAGGTAGAGGAGGAGGAGGAGGAGGAGGAGGAAGAATGAGGGAGGAGAAAAGGAAGAGGAAAAGAAGGAAGAAGAGGAAAAAGGAGGAGAAGGAAGAGGAGAAGAGGGAAGAAGAAGAAAGAAATTGTACCAGGGTTTGTGAGATGAAATTTACGTCCTGGCTTCAGAAGAAAATGGATCCTAATGATCAAAGCTACTGGATCTCCCCTTTGATGAGTGAACAGGCAGTGTGTCTGTGCTTGGTTTTTGGGGTTTTAGGTCCCTTGAAGCTTACCTAGGGCACTGTGGACTCTGGTATCAGAAACCCCTGAGTTATTATCATGGTGGTCAAGAGAGTGGCATCTGAGACCAGTCAGATATGGCCTTTGAAGCTGAGTTCTGCTACTTACAGCTTGAGTAAATTCCTTCACATCTCTCACTGTCAGGTTCCCCATTTATAAAAGGACATTTGAACCCTGAACTTGCCATGAGGATTAAGCAAGCCACAACATGGACTTCTCATGAAAGTTTGCCAGAGGGATTCATGGGGATGGTGGGTGAGGAGAGCAGAGGGCAATGGGATGAATATGGTTCAAGTACATTCCTCGCATGCATGCCAACAACTCACTCGAAATGGTCAAAAAATGAATGGACTGGATTGAGGAAGGGAGATAAGAAAGAATAATAGGATGATTTGAATCAAAGCACATCATATGCATGAGTGGAAAGATCATAACGAAAACTCTTTGTACAATTAATATACATACATTGACAAAAAAAGAGTGCCGGGATGTTTTAAGTGCTGTCTGAATGGTGCAAGAAAAGAGAATTTCAACAAGTTTAAATCTTGGACAATCTGAAATATATGCAAGGAAGAAAACTGTTCCAGATTCATAACTTCAAACTTTCTCTGCTTTTAAGGTTACATATTTTAGGCAAAAACATTTATAATAACAAAGCTATCTTATTTTCTGGGCTTGTGTTTTACTAGGTAGGAGCTGTCCCCTCTGAGCCATGCCTCCAGCCCATGTAATAAAGCAATCTTACAAGGTCTGTGACTTCTTTAAATTTTTTAGAAGCACATATTCCAAAACAACTATCCCAATGTTGCTTTCATGCTTTCTCTTTGGAAGGTTGTGCACTTCTTCTAAGGTTAACAGTCTTGTTTGAAATAACCATAGCGCTCTTTTCTGGGAATTGCTTTCAGAGTCCCTTTAACAACCTTATTGGAGACAAATTGTACAAGAATGGATTGATTGCTTGTAAACAGCCAGAAAAACACCTGGAACCAGGTTATGTTGTATAAGATGAATAATCAAGTTGTATAATACTGTCATTTCATCAAAAGAAACTGTAATTATTGAATGAGAGCTCTCATGGCTACATTTTCCTTTTTTTTCAAGTTGTCACAGTTGTCAAGCAGTAAATCAAACTATAGCCATTAAGTAAGACAAGCATGAAATAGGTATCTGTCATTTTTAATATATTTTGAATGTTGATAATTTAGATTACTTATCCTGGACCGATGCATCACACAGTGATTGAAAATAGTCCTGAAAGTTTCATTTTATACCCCACTTAAAATCTGCAGACCTACAATTTAGAATTGTTTCCCTTTTTCATGCTGGGACTCAAAATACACCTTTACTCTTTATAAGTTGATTATCTCAATTTCTTCTTATAGTTATGGAAAGCTTAATAGCATAGAACTTAAAAAATATAGTGGGAGACTGGACAAAGTGGCTCACATTTATAATCTTTGCTACATGGGAGGTAAAGGTAGAGGCTCATGGTCCAAGGCTGTCTCTGTCAAAAATGTGAGACCCTATCTGAAAAAACTAAAGCAGAAAAGGGCTGAAGTATGACTTAAGAGGTAGAGTGCTTTAAGTTCTAGTATGATTAAAAAAAAAGTACCAATTCATGTCTTATGTTTACATTAGGAAGACCCAAAGAATTGGTCCATTCATAAAGGGATAACTGTAATAGTTATTTTATGCAGACAATAATGACTTAATTCACAGTCCTTCCAATTTTTTAAAATGTCAAGCAAATGTAGATGCAGTTTTAAACACTGAATGTGGTGGTGTAGACCCCTAGTACCAGCCCTTGGGAAGTGGAGGCAGGAGGACCAAGAGTTCAGGATGATGTGCTGGGCGCCGGTGGCTCTCACCTTTAATCCTAGCTACTCAGGAGGCTGAGATCTGAGGATCGCAGTTCAAAGCCAGCCTGGGGAAGGAAACTTCATGAGACTCCTATCACCAATGAACCACCAGAAAACTAGAAGTGGTGCTATGGCTCAAGTGGTAGAGCGCTATCCTTGAGCTGAAGAGCTGAGGGCCAGCACCCAGGCCCAGAGTTCAAGCCCCATGACTGACAAAAAAAAAAAAGAATTCAGGATGAGCCTAGAAAACAGTCTATAAAAAATTGTTTGACATCTACACTGGAAAAGCTTTGATATTGTGAGAAAATGCCAACAGGGTACAAATTATCTAACGAGTGGAAGACATCTTCACACTTGACCGAAGAAAGTAAATCATTTCTACTTATCTTCTATTAGATGTATCATTTCATAAATGCTCAGGGTCCTTTTCAAACTGGGCGGCACTGATCAAGATACATTGAACTCATAGCCTCACTTAAGGAATTGCAACTTCTTTGTCCAACTACTTAACAATAAAAACCAATGGATGTTGCTGCTCTTGTGGTTTCCTGTTGTGGAAGCTGGGTTATGAAACAGTGCTGGGACACAGTGGCCACTTCCTTACCGAATGCCCATACATCTGACTTGCTGCTGTATTTGAAGTAATGAAACACCTCTGGAGCTGACCACTTGACTGGAAACTTTGTTCCTACTGAGCTGACATACTGGTCATCGAGAACATATCTGTAGGGGAAAGCGTTAACACAGACATGAAGCGACCTGGCAATGCAGAAATGCTGGCCATTCTTGCCACTTTTGGTGGTATGGGCTGATGAAGCGCATAGAGCCATCCAGACTTTCAGCTCACTGCTTTGGTTTTCTGGATCTTTTGCTTTCTTCTCATTGTGTCACATTAGCCACAGACTACTTACGATTTATAAGCATTTAGGAAAATTAACTGACTACTGGTGGCAAGTGGCTCACATCTGAAAAACCCAAGCTACTCAGGAGACAGATCTGAGAATCAGGCTTTGAAGCCAGCCCAGGAAGGAAAGTTGGTGAGACTCTTATCTTCAATGAACTACCAAAAAACCAGAAGAGCTGTGGCTCCAGTGGAAAAGTGTGAGCCTTGGGTGAATGAGTTAGAGGAGAGTTTCCAGGCTCTTGAACTAAGCTTCACTATCAGCCTGGAGAAAAAGATCCATGTTTTCTTGTAGTATATTTTATTTTTTGCGGTGGTTGGCACGGAATCCAGTGCCTCACATGTGTTAGGCAAATGTTCTTCAACTGAGCTCAGCCAGGGCCCTGTGCTTTCTGATCTACTTTTTTCTATGTATGCAATTTGGGCAAAATTGGGTTTCTGTTGTACTGAGATTTGCTTTCATTTTTGTTTTAATAGCAGATAATGAACATTTTCTTAGGTAGTTCTATTTTCTACTCCAGCATCATGTTTAATGATGAATATTCCCTATTATGGATTAACAGAATTTATAAGAGCATCTAAATTATTTCTAATCTGCTGTTATAAATTAGGATGAAAAATATCTTAGGGAGGTGATAAGGCCATAACAATATAATTTCAAGGCTATTCACTAAACCTTTATTTATAACAATAATAAAATGGAAGCAATGCCAATGTCACCATATTAATGAGTAAATACATATAGTACTAAGCATCTATTAGAAATGAGATAGCTCTATGTTTGCCAATATAAAAAGTTGTTTACTATATGATTACATGTAGAAACAAATATGTCTAATGTAGTTCCATTTTTGGAGAAGCAAACAGTAAAAGTATGTATACGTGTGTGTGTGTGTGTGTGTGTGTGTGTGTGTGTGTGTGTGTTTATGTCCTGTATACAGTTGGGTACCAGCAAATACATTCAGTTATTTTAGTACTGAAAATGATGGGAAAGAGTCAGGGGCAAATTCTCCTTTTTACCTTATGTACTACTGCTATCTTTCTTATAACATGCGCACATTATTTCTATAAGTAAAGAGGGGGAGAAAACCATATATTTATCTACAAAAAATAATAAAATGAAAATTACAGAAATCAAAATTTTAAGTAGGAAAACTGCACACCAAAATGTGTTAGAGTTCTCTACTATAATTTTCCTTTTGTCATTCATGGGGTTTGGACTCAGAGCCTGGGCGCTGCCTGTGAGCTCTTTTTGTTCAAAGCTAACACTCTAGCACGTCTGAGAATTTTTTAAACAGGAAGATTATTGACTTACCTTGTCATTCCAAAGTCAGAAACTTTCACAGAGAGATCACTGTCCACCAAGCAGTTCCGAGCAGCCTTTGGAAACAAAGCAAAATCATCAAGTGGTAAAAATGATCAAGAATCTCCTGAACTGAGAGTCAGACATTTCCATCTTTCTGTCAGCAGAATTCTCAGCAAAATCTAAGGTTGCCTACTGCACTACCTGCTCTGATGTTGTCTCTTGGAATTTTCAAGTTTTCCAAATGAAAAGAGTTCCCAGCAGGATTTTCACCCACATTTCCATTCTCCCCATCTTCTGTTCTTCAACTGTAATCTGTGCACTGGCAGGTGCTTTGAGAGTAGAAATGCTGTTCCAGTGACTTAGGGAATGTACTTGCCTAATGCGTGTAACATTTGCTGTTGAATACAAGCTAATCTCTTGAGATAGATCCCAATAAATCCCACATGCAATTCTGCCTCCAAACCCAAATTCAGCACCGCAAACACAGCCACAAGGATCATTTCCTTCTTTCATTTTATATGTTGAGTTATTGTACCGAAATGATTGCATTAACACCAAGCCCTTCCCAAAGGAACCATCAAGTTGCTTTAATAAAGTGTGGAGAAACACTAAGCTGGCCCAAGTCTTTCCTTTCCCTCTATTTGTCACACCACACCACAGCTAGCTCTGCCCATCTTGATGAGTTATGCTCCTCTTCCAGTTTGTTCCATTTGTCAAATATGTTGTTCTAAAATTGTGTTTTGTATTATACAAGTTACAAATGAGTACACCCAAGTAAATGGGCGTGCCTTGCCCATCCCCCTGCTGGTCTGGTCCCTGTACACAGGAACTGAGGGAGGATCACTTCCTTCCTTTTCCTTGACCTTCCAATGTTGTAGCTTACCAGGTCCCGGTGAATGAACTGGTGACTCTCCAAGAAGGCCATGCCTTCACAGACATCATAACACATTTCTAAGAGCTGAGAGGGTTCTAATCCTTTTCCATGACTCTTCAGGTAATTAAGCAAGCAGCCATTGGTTATATATTCAGTCACTATGTATATGGGGTATTTCTTGGAACACACTCCATAGAATTTAACCAGCTTAGGATGGTCAAGTTTCCTGGAAAGAACAGATTTGCAAAGTTTGGTACTGTGCACTCCATTTTTCAGATATACTGAAAAGGAAGGACTCTTGGATTTCCAGATATTTTTGTTTGATTTACTTTCCACCTTCTAGTTAGACAGAGAAAGGGAGTAGAAAGTTTAGGATCTTATTTTGGGAAGACAACAGCTTTTCAAAGCAAAACTAAACCAAAACCCTACTTTATATTAGCCAATGGCAACTCTGGAAACAGGAGTTCAGTAGTTTGCATTCACCTTTCCTACAGAGAAACAGGTAGCATCATTGCAAAAAACATATGCCAGAATAGGGAGGAGGTAGGTAAAATGAAAATAGCTGCCATTTTCTGGAAATAAGGTTAAGAATGATTTTTCTTTCTGTCTTACAAAATAACATCTTACATTATTTTAAAATAAATCTGTGTTACCCAGCACTGTTCTCCTCAAAAGGAAGGCCTGTGGTAGGACAAATATCCATCACCCAATAAAACTTGTTCACTTCCTAGAAAGCTCCTCATGGAGCATCATTTTGTGGGACCCTGATGTCAGTGGTACTCCCCACAGCACAAACAGTTGGTTTAACAATTTCTTTCGGGGCTTAACATGTTCTCCTTCTGGTACAGACTGACAGCTTTTTCCATGATTAGGTGAGTTTGTTAATGACCTTTCTTATTGGAAAGGTGATGTACAGAGGGGTAACAGTTACATAAGTAAGTTAATCAGTACATTTCTTTTTGAACAGTGTTATCCTCTCCCTCAGTTAATGACCAGCTCCGCAATAATAAAAAAGTAATAAAATAAAATAAAAAGTGTGCTATAATATTATGCCAAAACTAACAGGTTATCCCGTTCAGCCAAGAGAAATATTGCCAGATTTTTTTCTGTCCTGGAAAAGAAGGACACCAATGGTCCCCACTCGAATTTTAAGATAGTCTAATTGACAAGGATCTAATCTGATAAGTGATGTGCAGATATCAGCACAAAATGAAAACAATGCAAGAATCTTAGTTTTAAAACAATTAGCTATTTCAAAATGGCAACAGCATGGGACCAAAAACAAAGCACAGAGCACTTCTAAAAATGTGCAGATTGCATGCCTGTGAAAGCAGCCCTGTCACATAACAATCTCTACTTTCAAATGCTTCTGGAATTATGGTAAAAAGGTACGCTCTCAGTTCCTGACACGTTTGCTCTTCATAAAGAGATGACTAAGGAAATGGACACCAGAATATCTCCTTGGCTTTTCATTTCTTCCTTGTCAGTTCTACAACCTTGGCAGCTCTGGATAAGTTTTTTTTTAACATTGCTGTGTTTCAGTTTTCTGTAAAGCATATGTAACAATTGTACATCTCTCATAAATTTCTTATGCGAATCAATCAAATTACTTCTCATACAGTGCTTGGAAAAATGCTTAAGTAAAGTACTTTGAAAGTGCTTTAAACCTACATCAGGCTAGTATTTGCAATTTCAACACTCTGAATGAAGTTCTTCTATGACACTACTTTTCATACTATGCTGACTGTTTCTCCAAATGCAGTGACCAGCCATGCTGGCTTTGGTGAGTCTGAGGAGCTTCCAAGCATGCGGAACTTTTAGTACTAGAACCAGGAAAATCCCTGGAAAATCTCCTGGGTAGTTGATCATCATGTAATATGTGATTCACACATTGACCAGAAGAGGGTGAATTCATACAGCTCTCCCTCCCTCCCTCCCTCCCTCCGTCTCTCTCTCCCTCTCTCTCTTCTTTCTCTCTTTCTTTCTCCCTCTCTCCTCCCTCTCTCTCCCTCTTTCAATCTCTCTCTTTCACCCAGATTGCCCAGAAGAGGGAGAACTATGCAGACAAGGCATATATGTATAAATCACAGACATGAATGCATACAGAGAGAGAGAGAGAGAGAGAGAGAATCTAGAATCCTGTGTCCATATACTACTGAGGCCTCTCCCAGAGCCTCTACAGACTTCTCTTGGGTCTATCTCTTCAAGGATAAATCATGATATATAATAGAAACCATCATCTAACAGTTGTTTGTGGGAGACATGGAGGGGACTTGGATGTATTGGATATAGTCTGCACATAATTACTAAGGAACTTTGTAGTGCAGAATGGAGCTATGGATGGGAAGAGAAGGAGCAAGGGTAGAGACTGGAGGGTCACAGGCTACAGGCTGGTTTCTCAATAGAGTTGTGAGAATTGTAAATCTGAATATGACTTTTTGGGTCCTTATCAAGTTATAGTTGTCCAAGTAGGAGCACAGAATTACTTTGATTTAATGGTTTATTTCCTTAACTCACAACTTCTAAATACCTGTGATCTATTGGGCTCTTGAACCAGGTCTTAAAAATGCACACTCACAGGGACATGATACATTATACAGGACGCTAGACATTCACACGCTGAGGCTAAAGACGATATGCATGGGAGCAGCTGAGCAAGGCGCAATAGCTATATGCAGATGCTCATAGAAAATGCTATTCTATGACATGAACTACAAGAAAAGGAAACAGGTGTTTTTTTTTAGTTGCTATTGTTGCTGTTTTTGTTTTCCTTTCCTTTTGTCTTTTTCCTTTGTCTTTGGGAGGGTAAAGGGGGGGCACAGAAAAGGTATAACAAAGAGTGAACAAATACAACAGTGGGACTCACTAGACACTATGTGGAAAACGAGCTGAATATCTTGTGACCGCGGACAGGAGGGGAAAACGGGGAGAGAGCAATGGAAGGCGAGACATAGTTCAAAAAGAATTGTGCTCACTACTCATTACCTGATTTATGTAACTGTAACCCCTCTGAATAACAACTCTACAATAACCATTTAAAATGGTTTTATAAAACAAATGCTAGGAGCCGGGCACTGGTGGCTCACGCCTGTCATCCTAGCTACACAGGAGGCTGAGATCTGAGGATCCGGTTCAAAGCCAACCCGGGAAGGAAAGTCTGTGAGACTCTTATCTCCAATGAACCACTTAGAAAACTGGAAGTGGCGCTGAAGCTCAAGTGGTAGGGCGCTAGCCTTGAGCTGAAGAGCTGAGGGACAGCGCCCAGGCCCAGAGTTCAAGCCCCATGA